CTCTTTTTACAATAAATTCATGACCATCAGAAGATATCAACTTGACATACATGGCATCAGGGCCTTCACAGCCACCATACGTTTTCTCCTCTCCATCCATTATGTTCTTATGAAATTCTACTTTGCTTCCACAGAAACTTTAGTAGTTTCCCCTGTGGGTTCCGGGGCAGTCTAAAGGATTACTTCCGTCAGGTCACAGCCGCTCTCTTGTTTATTTATTTCGAAATTCAGAGTTAGAGAGAGTGGGAGAGAGAGATATCATCCGTCTTTTACTTCTCTCTCCAAATGGTCACAGCGGCCAGTTTTGGGCCACGCGAGAGCCAGGAGCTTCATCTGGGTCTCCTACTTGGGTGGCAGGTACCCAGACACTTGCACCATCTTGCACTGCTTTTCCCAGGCCATTAGCAGGGAGCTGTATTGAAGTGGAGCAGCCAGGACTAGAACCGTCACCCACATGGGATGCTGGCATTGCAGGCTGCAGCTTTAATTGCTACACTATAACACCAGCCCCTAAACTCTCTTTTTTTTAGTGCATACCTGTTTGATAGTGATGTGTTGCTTTTGTTAATTATTCATATTTAAAACTGGATATTTTTTGTCCTGAAAAGGAGTCTTCTGTTGCTTATATGCCTTCGCTGGGTTTAGAATGTTGATTTTTTTTTTTACAGCTTCAGATTCTGAAGCTTGAACTTATACATTAGTTTTTTGCAAGAATTGTTAACACTGAGAGTGATTCACACTAACTTATGTCAAAGACTAACATGACAAATTCTCTTTTGCCCAGTAGTAGAGGATGTTACTTCCTGATGTCAGGAATACCCACATGCACATCCTGGTGTGAGTAGCCAGGAACCCAAGACAGTTTGGTAAGCACTGAATCAGACTATAAGCACTGAATGACCTTGGGTATAAGTTTATTTAGGCTGTGCAAAGTTTGGGTAAACTGTGGGTCTGTCACAAGAAAGTCATTGTCGTTCACTTTTCCCCCAAATGTTTTTCCTTGGGCATGGCTCAGTTAGAGATTTTTAAAAAGATTTTTATTTATTTGAAAGGCAGAGTGATGAGAGTGATTAATCTTCCATCCTTTGATTCACTTCCCAAATGGTCCTCAACAGCTGGGGCTGGGCCAGGACATAGCTAGGAGCCAGGAACTCCATCTGGGTCTCCCACGTGGGTAGCAGGGACTGTAGGACTTGAGCCAGCATCTGCTATTTTTGGAATGCACTTTTTAGATTGTTTTTCTTGAATCTTACTTCTTCTTTGGGTTAGTCTATAACATTCTTTCTACCACATAATTTGTGTGGTGAGGCAGGCTTTTTTTTATTTATTTATTTATTTATTTATTTTGACAGGCAGAGTGGACAGTGAAAGAGACAGAGAAAGAGGTCTTCCTTTTTCCATTGGTTCACCCTGTAATGGCTGCTGTGGCTGGCGCGCTGTGGCCGGCGCACCACACTGATCCGAAGCCAGGAGCCAGGTGCTTCTCCTGGTCTCCCACACGGATGCAGGGCCCAAGCACTTGGGCCATCCTCCACTGCACTCCTGGGCCATAGCAGAGAGCTGGACTGGAAGAGGAGCAACCGGGACAGAATCCGGCGCCCTGACCGGGACTAGAACCTGGGGTGCCGGCACCGCAGGTGGAGGATTAGCCTATTGAGCCGCGGCACCGGCCATGAGGCAGGCTTTAGACTGTGTTCTGTTTAAGAAGTTTCAATAGGTTTATGGTCCTATGCAGGGGAAAAGAGATATGCAGTGGATGACCTAGCTAAGTACTTCTCCAGACCTCAGGAAGAGATGACATTTTCTTTCCATTCACCTTTCTCAGGTATCTAGCTCGGGGTATGAACCAAGGAGACCTTACTTCTCATCTAGCCTGAAGTTAGAGGGGCAGAGTCTTCTTGGCGGCCCATCCAAGCAATGTTGTCAGAAGGCCCCTGTGAACTTCTCAGTCTAGAAACTAGTAATGAAGTCTACGTTTACTTGTACTGACCTTTGGCAGAATCGTGTTAAGAATTCATGGTAACCTTTGAGTGTCTGGCAAGAGGTTTGAGACTCCTCCCTGCAGCCATATTTCTTGCTCACCTTTTAATACATTCTACCTCCTGGCTTTCTTTGCCTTTGCTGTGCCTTCCTTAAGGGTGGACATAGAACTGTGCTGATGACCCACAGCCACAGTAAAATGGGCAAAGTCTACTAGGAGTCCCAAATAACTCCTGCAAAAGCCATGTGTCTTTCCTATGGGAGGAATACTTATTCAGGTTCTATTTATATGTTGTTAGAGATCATCATGAAATAGATGAGAGGGTGAGGCAGGAGCCAGGAGCTTCTTCTAGGTTTTCCATGTGAGTGCAGAGCCCCAAAGACCTGGGCTATCTTCTGCTGCTTTCCCAGGCACATTAGCAGGGAGCTGGATTGGAAGGGGAGCAGTTGGGATTCAAATCAGCATCCATATGGGATGCCCATGCTGCAGATGGCAGCTGAACGCTACCACAGGGCCGGCTCCTAGTACTGTATTTTCATGCATTGATGCTCATTGGCCCTCTTCTCTGCTCATTCAGTGTCTTCCCTCCAAAGAGTGTCTCAGTGGTGGAGCAGTCCTGCATGTTTTGGTTTTGACAGAAATGTTTGTAGTTACTCTTTTTCTTTTTTATTTTTTTTTTATTTTTTTTTAAATTTTTTTATTTTTTGACAGGCAGAGTGGACAGTGAGAGAGAGACAGAGAGAAAGGTCTTCCTTTGCCGTTGGTTCACCCTCCAATGGCTGCCACGGCCAGCGCACTGCGGCCGGCGCACCGCGCTCATCCGATGGCAGGAGCCAGGAGCCAGGTGCTTTTCCTGGTCTCCCATGGGGTGCAGGGCCCAAGCACTTGGGCCATCCTCCACTGCACTCCCTGGCCACAGCAGAGAGCTGGCCTGGAAAATTGGCAACCGGGACAGAATCCGGCGCCCCGACCGGGACTAGAACCCGGTGTGCCGGCGCCGCTAGGTGGAGGATTAGCCTAGTGAGCCGCGGCGCCGGCCTCTTTTTTCTTTTTTTTTTAAATTAATTTATTTTATTTGAAAGGCGGAGTTACAGAGAGACAGAGGCAGAGAGAGAGAGAAAAATACCTTCCATCTGCTGGTTCACTCCTCAGATGTCTGCAACAGCTGTAGCTGAGCCAATCTGAAGCTAGGAGCCAGGGGCTTCTTCTGGGTCTCCCACATGGGTGCAGGGGCCCAAGGACTTGGACCATCTTCCACTGCTTTCCCAGGCCATAGCAGAGATCTGGGTGGGAAGTGGAGCAGCCGGGACTTGAACCAGCCCCTACTATGGTATGCCGGCACTGCAGGTGGCAGCTTTACCCACTACACCACAGCACTGGCCCCTTTAGTTGATCTTAAAGGCTGATGATATCTGTGGTTGGGAGGCATAGTTCTGTAATGAGTTTGATATTTCTCCATCTTTGTACTCTAATTGGTTATAGTTTTACTTTCATTTTGTAAAATTGAGTTAGCAGCCTAAGGTTGTAGGGACATTAGATGCTAATAATCATGTTATCTTAACTTTTTTGTGAGCCCAAAGGGTATATTTTGGGGTTAGTTGTAGGACTAGATGTTATTGGGAAGGTAGGAAGCAGTTATTTGGAAATCAGAAGTGGTATCTCTCTGTGGTTCAAGGTAATAAAAACTGTAAAGTTGTTTTCAAGTTGCCCAAGAGGGAAAACCTGTCTGTCGTTATGGTTTCCATCAGCTCTAGTGTGCTTGACGCCAAAAGTCTGTTCCTCTGCCTTTCCCAGTTCATTCAGACATTCAAGAACATTCTTGCTATAACCTCTAAAATCAGATTTTTGAAGGTTGGAGTTTTGTTTAATTTTTTTATATGTCGTATTTATACATATTTATGGACTGTACTGACATTTTGATACATGTATGTCTACAATGTGTAATACACTGATCAGGATAATTGACATAACTATCACCGTAAAGATACATCATTTCTTTGTGTTAGCAACACTGAAAATTCTCTCTACTAGCTATTTTGAAATATCCAATTACTCATCGTTAGCCATAGTTATCTTTTGGTGCTACAGATTATTAGAAGTTATTCCTCCTATCCAGCAGTACCCCTGTGTCCATTAACTTTCCTTTCTCCATCCTTCCCTCTCTTATACCCTTTCTGGGCCCTTGGCAACTACTATTTTATCCTCTTTACTTCTTTGAGCTCAAAAAGTTGGAAAATTTTTATTGATGCCTCTTGAGCACTTTTCTACCACCCTCAGGCCCACTCTTTGCATAGGCCTTTCTCCCTGGAGACCCATCCATACACTGTTGCTGTCTCAATTCCATGTGCTCCCTCTTTAGTGCTACCTAGCCCTGGCCAAAGGAGGCTTAGCTGATGATCATGTCCTCATCCTGCCCATTGGACACTACCAGTCAGTGGTGGAGCTATCGGCAGAAGTGGTGGAAGAAGTGGAGAAGTATAAGGCTACACTGAGACGGTTCTTTAAAAGTCGAGGGAAACGGTGTGTTCTGTTCGAGAGAAATTATAAGAGCCATCATCTCCAGCTACAGGTAGGTAGTCACTGCACAGGAACTTAAAAGTGCACTATAGGACACTTGATACTGATAAATAAATGTTCAAATAATGCTTAACTTTAATATCTAATTAGATATTCAGAATATTTAACTTTATATTTAATGTATTTAATATGAATTTTCATATTTAAATCATGTTCATTTAAAGAGTATCTGGTGATAATCCCAGATATTTCACAAGGAAGTGCCTGATCAATACAGGTGAGCAGCCAGGTAATGCAAGTACCTTGTTTGAGAACAGAACAGGTAGTTGAGGAAGGTTCCAAGGAAGAAACACGTCTGACTATGTAAGAGTTTGCAAATTAGTGGGCTATTTTGTGTGGAGACCCAGCACAAGTGAGGGCTTAAAGGTGAAAAATAGACATGAAGCCTGCAATGGGCTAGCCGCTCATAAATTCAGAGATTGTTTGTAGATACTGTGCTTGGATTTGTGGTGGTTTTCTCTTTGGTCCATTTGTTAAGTTTTCAAATGGGCCTGACTCGGCCACATACATTATAAAGGATCTGGCAAAGGCTTGATGACAGAGATTTCTGTTGAGCCTATCCTGCATCACAGCTTGGCTCCCACATGCAGCAGGCTATCTCATAAGTTTAAGTCCTTACAGACAGGCTGGTATGGCCTGTCTGGCCTGAGGAGAGTTTGTGCTGAGGGGTTTTTCTCCATGCCCCTGTGATGGATTCGCTGCTTTGCAGACTGTGCAGGCCCACCCTCTCTGGGACCTGTACTGAGAATTTCTCCTAACCCCACCCTAGGTCATTCCGGTGCCACTCAGCTGCTGTGCCACTGATGACATTAAAGATGCCTTCATTACCCAGGCACAGGAGCAGCAGATAGAACTGCTGGAAATCCCTGAGCACTCTGACATCAAGCAGGTGAAGCAAGAAGGGAGGGCAAGGGTCAAGATCTGGGTTTTGACATACTGTGCTTCAGGTCTATCTAGGCTTCCCAGAAATGTTCAGTGGGCAGGGGACAGTTTGGAACTAGAACACGGGTATTTATTACACTGGCAATGGCGATGGTATTACAGCAAAGTCATAGTGCTTTCCTGTGAAGAACAAGAAATTAGGAACTTCCTAAGGTGGGAATTTAGATGGGTGGATGCAATTGAAGGATACTGGTAGTATCTGCCAGTCTCGTTTTTAAGATGGCTTGGGGCCTGTAGCTACTCACACATCCTTTTTCTTGAGCTTCTAGACTGAAATCTTTGCCAAATTAGAGCTTACAGAGGATGAGCTGAGACTTTAGATTTTTTAAACCACTGCTGTATGTTCTTATACAGTACTGTTTAATCTAGATTGCACAACCGGGAGCAGCATACTTTTATGTTGAACTTGACACAGGGGAGAAGCTTTTCCACAGAATTAAAAAGAATTTTCCTTTGCAATTTGGAAGGTTTGTATATTTTTTTTCTTTTCAATATATTTTCATTAGACTTCATAAGAGCAGAGTTGGGGATTATATTGACAGTTGATAAAAAGCTAAATAGGAAATAGTCTTTGCCCCCAAGGAACTCAATTTTTGGACAAGTCAGATATTTACATCTATGAAGTAATGTAATACACAGTATGATGTATATATATCTCAACAGAGTTTTGGAGAACAATGTATTTTAGGAATTCAGAGAAGGAGCAGAGAATTTCCTTTTGGTGAAAGGCTTCACTACAGGTTAAAGTTGAACCTGAGAGATTTAGAGGGCAAAGATTGAGATGAAAAGGATTCCATCTAGAATGAATAAAATGTTACCATCAAGCATATTTTCCATGCCAGGTAATGTGCTGAGAAGTTTACATGAATCGCCTTATTTAATTCTTACAGCTCTGTAAGGTAGGTAATTTCAACCCAGTTTACCAATGTGGGGAATGACACTGTAGAGCAGTGCCCAAAAGAACTTTCCACAATGATGGACATATTTTATAAATCTGCACTGTTGGACCAGGCAGTGATGCTGTGGGTTAAGCCGCCATCTGCAGCACTAGCATCCCATATGGGTGCCATTGCAAGTCTTGGCTGCTCCGCTTCTGATCTAGCTCCATGTTAATGTGCCTGGGAAAGCAGCAAAAGATGGCTCAAGTACTTGGGCCCTTCCACCCATGTGGGAGACCCAGAAGAAGCTCCTGGCTCCTGGCTCCTGGCTCCTGGCTTTGGCCTGGCCTAGCCCTGGCCATTGAGCCCACTGGGGAGTGAATCAGTGGATGGAAGATATCTGTGTGTGTATGTATGTGTGTGTGTGTGTGTAATTCTGACTTTTAAAGAAGTGAAGAAATAAATCATTAAAAAAATTTACATCATTCAATACCATAATTACTAGCTACATGTGGCTCTTGGGCACTTGAAAATGTGGTTAATACAATGGAGGGACTGAATTTTTAATCTTACTCAATTTTAACTCTAATAAGTTTAATCAGCTGCATCTGGCTATTGACTGCTATACTGGCCAGCTTTCGAGGGGTTAAGTAGCTTCTCCCTGTGAGACCTTAACTTTATTATTTTGCAGTTGTCCTAATGGTCTGGAGGAGGCCTCATGGCCAACAGAACATAACTGCAAAACCATACAGAAGTAGTGATAAGTTAGGCAAAGATTAAAGACAGGAAGTTCCTGGCAAGAATGGGAGGAAGTAGGAAATGTAGGAAATGTACAAAATGGATTATCTGATGTCAGTATCTGTGATTTGCCATTGTTTCATTCCCCATAGTTAGAACTGGACTTCGAGTGAGTCTTGAATTCTTCCTGTCTAATTTGGAAAAGCCTCCTAGAGATTGCCCCACTGGACAACTCTAGTGAATATGTTTTCCTACATTTTTAAAGAGCTAATTAATAAGTGACAACAAATGTGTTAAAAGCATCACATTGATTTGATGCTTTTGTGTTGCCTTAGCAGCAGGTGCAGATAAGCACAGTAATGAATAGGGATATGACTAGATGCATACGGGCATGTTACACATCCCACACAAGGGAGAGTCTCTGAATGGCTTTTTGCTCATGATAGTTTTATTTGCAATATTGAATAATTTTTTAAATATTTATTTTACTAATGGCATTCTGTAATTAACACAATACATATAACAGCAATTTTTTTCCAGCTGTTCAAGAAAAGTAGTTTTATATTCATTTTACATATGAGTAAGTAAGCCCAAGGTTGGCCCAAAGAGCTAGAACTTGAGTTCAGGTCCTTCGTCTTTTAGGGGACTTGTGTGATTTGTTTTCAATTCTCCTATTTATTATAGCTTCAGAATGGAAAATGAACATACAGGTGCACACAGAGTTATTTCTAATGTATCAAAATAAGTAAAAATAACAATATAAAGCAGTGGCATTTAGAAGGCATCTTATGTGTGTGTTCCTGTATGTAGTTATTCTTTAGTCTTGTGAGCCAAGATTAGTTGTTGACATAGAACTTTGTATTGCTGTGACTGTGTAGGCCTGAGTCCCCTGGAGGGAGAGGCAAGAGGAATTTTAAGTCAGAGTGGGTACCACACTAGGTGCCTCCCTCTGAGTCATGCCTTCAGCAAACTCATAGTCTAGAGGGGGTGACAAAACTACAGTTTAGGGCAGGATGTAGTCATAGCCAGCATGGTATCTCTGTACCTCACCAAACCCTGTAAGGTAGGCAATCTTATTTGCATTTCATAGATGACAAATTCAGGACTCAGAGATGAAGTAATCTATCCCAGTCATAGACAAGAAGTGGCAGAAGTAGGAATGGAATCCATTCTGTGATCTTTCTGACCACCAGTTCTACCCACTTTCTGCTATGTCACATTGCTTCTCTAAGTACCAGCAATGTAATTCAAGTGTGTTCAAGAGAAGGAGAAATAAGTGGGGTTTAATGGGTTAGAAAAAAGATAAGACTTAAGTTGGCCACTTAAATTTTTATTTATTTTCATTTTATTTGAAAGGAGAGACAGATGTAGACAGAGATTTTCCATTCACTGTCCAGATGCCCACAACAGCCTGAACCAGGCCAGGTTGAAGCCAGGAGCCTGGAACTCACAGGCCTCCTATGTGGGTAGCAGGCACTCAAGTACTTGGGCCATCACTTCTTGCCTCCCAGGATGCACATTAGCAGGAGGCTGGAATCTGGAGCAAAGCCAAGGCTGAAACCTAGGCGCTTGGATATGCAATGCAGATATCTTGAGCTGTGTCTTAGCTGCTATGCCAAATGCCCATCCCTGAGCTGATCACTTAAGATGGATGTGATTTTGATAGATGGGGTGGCAGAGATGTTACTCAGGGCGGGAGAACACTAGGAGCAGTCAGACAAATTCACATACTTCGGTTAGAGAGGAATAGAATAGAGGGAGGAAGGGGTTTCAGTCTGATATTGTCCATTTTGTGTTCTTTCCACAGGGAGGTGCTGGCCAGTGAAGCCATCCTTAATATTCCTGACAAATCTGACTGGAGGCAGTGTCAGGTCAGCAAGGAAGAGGAGGAGACACTGGCTCGCCGCTTCCGGAAAGACTTTGAGCCCTTTGACTTTACTCTGGATGACTAAGCAAAGGGAAGAACACTTTATGAACTTCACAGGAAGTAACAGCTTGTTTTTAAACCAGTCTCCCGTGGGGACTGTTTCTCTGCCTCTTTTTTGTGCATTCCCATGGAACCTGCCTGTAGCAAGAGGCTTAGGATTGCATATTTTTGGGGAGAAGTCATTCTAGGATTAAAATACTGTTTTGAAAACATCTGTCATCCAACTCCTAAGAACGGCTTGTGTTTATGTTTTCAAAAACTTTGAAGCTATCAAATAAAATCTAAGTGCTTTTCCACAATTCAAAAGTATTTTATATGCATGTTGCCTATTATCACTGAAAAGAGGTAGGTGTATAATAAGAGGGGCCAGGGTTGTAGATCCAGCTGCTGTCCCAGAATCACACAGCATCTCCAGGAGCAGTTTGGGGTAGAGAAAGGATACAAGGCCTTTGCTATTTTTCTCTTAGAGCATTCACATTATTAACATGTAAGAGTCTATTTAGTCCTTCAGAGAGCTACTTCCTGTGTGCCAGGCATTTTCTAGATTCCAGGAATATAGCTGTGTCCTAACATGGTTTTTGTTGTCCCAGTTTACATTCTAATTGGGACAACAAGGGGCAATTTTTTTTTTTTTTTTTTTTTTAGAATTGATATATTTATTTGAAAGAATTACAGAGAGGCAGAGAGAGATCTTCCCACCACTGGTTCACTCCCCAGATGGCCACAACGGCCAGAGCTGCACTGATCCGAAGCCAGGAGCCAGGAGCTTCTGGGTCTCCCACGCTGCTGCAGGGGCCCAAGGACTTGGGCTATCTTCTACTGCTTTTCCAGGCCATAGCAGAGAACTGGATTGGAAGAGGAGCAGCTGGGACTTGAACAGGTACCCATATGAGATGCCACTACTGCAGGCGGTGGCTTTACCTGCTACGCCACAGCCCTGGCCTGCTTCGTTTCTAATCCAGCTCCTTGGTAATGCACCTGGAAGGACAGTGGAGCATGGCCCAAGTGCTTGGGCTCCTGCATCTAAATAGGAGACCTGGAAGAAGCTGCAGGCTTTTGGCTTTGGCCTGGCCCGGTGTTAGGTGCTGCAGCCATTTGGGGAGTGAAGCAGCAGGTGGAAGACCTCTCACTTTCACACATGCTCGCTTGCTCTCTCTCTCTCTCTGTCTTTCAAATAAGTAAATAAATAAATCTTTAAAAGAAGAAAGAGTTCTTTGTTGTATATGTTATGGATGTTTGAAATGTGTAACAGGAGCCGGCGCCCTGGCTCGCTTGGTTAATCCTCCGCCTATGGCACTGGGTTCTAGTCCCGGTTACCCTCTTCCAGTCCAGCTCTCTGCTGTGGCCCGGGAGGGCAGTGGAGGTTGGCCTGAGTGCTTGGGCCCCTGCACCTGCATGGGAGACCAGGGGTAGGCACCTGGCTCCTGGCTTTGGATTGGCATAGTGCCGGCTGTAGCAGCCATTTGGGGCACTCCCAACGGAAGGAAGACCTTTCTCTCTGTCTCTCTCTCACTGTCTAATAAAAAAAAAAAAAAGAAAAAAAAAAAGAAATGTGTAACAAATGTGTCTATGCTGTTGGGTAACTGAATTTACGGATGTCTAGTTATTAGGGTTTGGGGATCATCAGGGTCTAGACCATAGGTGAAGTTATGAGAATGGATGAAAATAAGATTGAGTGAAAACAGTCCTGAACTTAAGATGACTACCTGAGGAGTATCAGTATTTAAAGAGCACTTGGAAGTAGAGCAATCCAGTGAAGTACGTGGAGAAGGAGCAGAAAGATCACAGGAGAACCCAAAACAGACTGGCAAACCTGAAGGTTATGGAGCCTGAGGTCACTGGCCTTCGTTTTTTAAAAAAATTTAATGGGGACATTTAAAGGGTGATCTATGGGAACCGTCTAGGTTCCAAAAAGATGATCAGTCCAAGGTCAGCACAATTATCAGTGTTCTTGGTCCTCAGGCTCCCTCTGTAGCTCTCCTGAGTGTGAATTGGGAGATCACAGGCCCTCCTGTGGAGAATGGAAACAAGCTCTGCTGTACATCCAGCAAATGGTAGGGCTTACCCTTTCCCAAAATTGGCACCATAATCCTTTGTACAGTCTGTCCAGCTCTGTAGCACAAGTTCTCAGAGGCGCTGTCTGGCATCACCTCCAGGAGACTCCTATTCCAGCTCTGTGGAGGCCACACACGGGTGATGGTAACCACTTCACTGATGACCTACAACATCTGCTTGGTTTGTAACTTGTGGCACTGAACGTTTGAATCACACCAATACATCTTTGAGAATTTGATTCTATGCTGATTTTTATACCATGAATTATCGAAATTCCCGGGTTCCATGAAGGGTGTGACTTCAAATGGAAAACCGGGAGCTGATTCCTGGATAAGCCAATCCACCACCAGGAGGCACCTGTTACATCAGCAACATTCCAGAAGCTTCCTGTTGCAGTCCCGCAGCATGCCTCAGAAACACTGCAATGAGGAACCACCTCACTGGCAAACCCGTAACTGGCCGGCTGCAACAGGAAGCTCAGTCAGAGTTAGGGACCTACGCCCGCGCCAGTTCCAAGGGAGCATTAGCCCTGCACTCTGTCATATCCTTAAGTTGTTTGGAAAATCTGGGAGGTGGTAGAATAGGCGGAAAGGAACTCATAGGTGAATACAACTTGTGACCTGTTAATACAGGATTTTTTTCCGAGTTCTTTGGATTTCAGGGTTCTTTGGATTCTGCATTACCTAAATCATTGGTGGCCTTTGCCCAGTGCCACCCCCGCGGGTGCTGGGGCTGCATGATAGATGGCAGGGATCTTAAGAAAGATGGAGCCCAGGGCCGGCGCTGTGGCAAAGCGGGTAAGGCCACCAACTGCAGTCCCGGAATCCCATATAGGCGCCAGTTTGAGTCCCGGCTGCTCCACTTCCCATCCAGCTCTCTCTTATGGCCTGGGAAAGCAGCAGAAGATGGCCCAACTACTTGGGCCCCTGCACCCACATGGGAGACCCAGAAGAAGCTCCTGGCTCCTGGCTTTGTATCGGCGCAGCACGGGCGGTTGCAGCCAATTAAGGAGTGAACCAGCGGATGAAGACCTTTCTCTCTCTCTCTCTGAAAATCTGACTTTCAAATAAAATAAATCTTAAAAAGAGAGATGGAAAGCCGGCGCCGTGGCTCAATAGGCTAATCCTCCACCTTGCGGCGCCGGCACACCGGGTTCTAGTCCCGGTTGGGGCGCCGGATTCTGTCCCGGTTGCCCCTCTTCCAGGCCAGCTCTCTGCTATGGCCAGGGAGTGCAGTGGAGGATGGCCCAGGTGCTTGGGCCCTGCACCCCATGGGAGACCAGGAAAAGCACCTGGCTCCTGGCTCCTGCCAGGATCAGCGCGGTGCGCCGGCTGCAGCGGCGGCCATTGGAGGGTGAACCAACGGCAAAGGAAGACCTTTCTCTCCCTGTCTCTCTCTCTCACTGTCCACTCTGCCTATCAAAAAAAAAAAAAAAAAAAAAAAAGAGAGATGGAGGCCAGTGGAGGGTGGTGGGGCTGGGGATAGACGGCAGGGATCTTAAGAAAGAGACCGGTGGAGACCACGCAAAGTTTACAAAAAAATACAGGACAATCTGGTTTGGAGAGCGATTTGAAGGGAATGCAGGATTTGGAGAGCTCTTATGTTTTTCCAGACTAGAAAAACATATGAGTCCTCTCAGCGAGGAAAAGGCCTAGGGGACTTGGGAGCAGCCTGAAAGCGCCCTCCTTGTCCTCCATTCTTTGGCCAGCAGGGATCCCGGGGCGCCTAGGAGAACTCGGGGCGTGCCTTCCTCGCGGCAGTTACCGGAAGTGACGCATCATCTCGCGAGAAGAAAGACGCGCGAGTCTCGGCGGCCCGGAACCGGTCTTGGAGCAGCTGTGGAGCCTGAGGCCGCTTGCCCTCCCGCCCCATGGAGCGGCCTCCGGGGCTGCGGCCGGGTGCGGGCGGGCCCTGGGAGATGCGGGAGCGGCTAGGCACCGGCGGCTTCGGGAACGTGTGCTTGTACCAGCATCGGGTGAGGCGGAGCGCGGGAGGGAGCGGCGGAGGGCTTGTCGGAGCGTCTGTGGAACGCAGGGCTGTCAGTGTGAGAGGGGTTGTCGCCGAGACTTTGGGCAGTGCCTGTCGGCCGGTGAGCGTGTATCTGTGTGTGTGCGTGACAGAGAATGAAAATGAACATGGCTTCAAAGAGAGAGAGAGGTTGGAGGTAGGGGTTGTTGTCGGTGGAAGATAGAGAATGTCAGGCTCGAGAGTTTTACACTGCTTTAATTGAAAATGTTTAGCCGTTGTAGCAGCAGTTAATAACATGTTTGAGCTCTGTGTCTTCGTGCGCCAATAAAAGCTATGTATCTCTACCCCAGAGGGGGAAAAAAACGCGCAGATGCATATCCGCACCTTGCACGTTGCCATCGGAGGGATGTATTTAGGTGAACTGGCTCAAGGTTAATAACCTCTGCAGTATAACTTTTGTTAATCTGCAAAGCAGGCGTAGTGATGCGCATCATGGGTCTGTTGGAGAGTTAAGTCAGATAACAAAGTATGTAAAGCTGAGTACAGTACAGCTTGGCTCCCGCTGCTGCTGTGTGGTTGCTGTCGTCATAATCTTGCATGTTCATCATCATTAATTGACCTTAAAAAAGAAAATGTCAAGATAAAAGTGGCCTTCTGTATATAAATATAATTTAAAATGAATCTTAATGAAGAATGGGATGGGAGAGGGAGTAGGAGGTGGGACGGTTTGGGGGTGGGAGGGCTGGTTGGGGGGAAGAACTGCTAGAATCCAAAAGTTGTACCTATGAAATTTATATTTATTAAATAAAAGCTTTCTATATTAAAAAGATAAAATGGTGTTATAAGAAGATTATTTTGTAGAATATAAATTAAGTGTAAAAATAGATGGGACAAATGAGGGTTTAATACTGAAATGTCTTCTTGGACATTCCTAAGGAATTCAAGAGAAGTCATCATTTGCTGTTTTAAGAAAAATGGGTATAGGTACAGAGCACATAATTTGGAGTGGGAAGGAGGCGAAATTTTTGGGACAATAAACTTGTCTGTGGGGCAGCTAGAATGACAAATGTCACTGATAGAACTGAGAAGAGGTTTCTAGATGGAGCAAAGGAGGAAACCTTGGACAGAGGGAGAATGGAAGATGAAGGGCTAAGGCATTAAGAAGTACTGTAGTAGTAGTGGTGGTGGTGGTAGTAAAGTGGTATCCTTAATCTTTTTTTTTTTTTTAAGATTTACTTATTTATTTTATTTGAAAGTCAGAGTTACATAGAGAGAGGAGAGACAGAGAGAGAGAGAGGTCTTCCATCTGCTGGTTCGCTTCCCAATTGGCCGCAATGGCCAGAACGGCACCGATCCAGAGCCAGGAGCCAGGAGCTTCTTCCGGGTCTCCCACGTGGGTGCAGGGGCCCAAGTAGTTGGGCCATCTTCTACTGCTATCCCAGGCCATAGCAGAGAGCTGGATTGGAAGTGGAGCAGCCAGGTCTCGAACTGGCGCCCATATGGGATGCCGGCGCTTCAGCCCAGGGCGTTAACCCGCTGGCCACAGCGCCAACCTTCCTTAATCGTTTTTACTATCAGAGTAGACATAATTCCCTCGAAGATTAAAAAAAAAAAAAAAAAAAAGAGGGCATCAAGAACTTCCAGAGCTTGGGGGGTGGTAAGTGTTGAGTGTATTAACTAAGCCTGCCAGCAGCCTGCTGGTATACTTTTGTGACAGCTTCTTTTGGTCCCTAGCTGAGGATGGATGAATTTTTCACTGTGTGTGGGGGGGAGGGGGGATAAATTATACTAGAAGATAAAATTTACTGCTTTAAGCATTTTAAATCCTGCAGTTCAGTGGCATTCAGACCATTCACGTTAATGTGCAATTATCTTTAGCATTCACCTCCAGAAATTTTTTATCTTCTCCAACTGAAACTCTGTCCCTCTGAACAGTAGCTCCATTTCCCCCTTGCAGCAGCCCCTGGAAATACCATTTGACTTTGTGTTCCTGGGGAATTTGTCACTTTCTAACTGGAAGAGGTTTGAGTTCCTCTAGAATCTTACATAGCTCTCAGAAACTTTGCAGTCCACCAGAGTGCCCTTTCCCAAAACTGGGGCATGTGACAATGGGGCCTGTAGTGAGGAGAGAAGGAGTATTTTATAAAGCTTGGAAGCAGGATCATTTCTTTTCCAAGCCATACTTATTGTTTGCATTTACAGTTTTCAAGATTCTCATGTTTGATGGAAGTCTTGTCCCAATATTTCATCTGCACACTTTTTTTAAAGGTTTATTTGAAAGTTAGAGTTAGAGAAAGAGAGATGGAGAAGAAGAGAGAGAGCGATCTGATCCACTGATTCAACCCCAGATGACTGCAATGGCCAGAGCTGGACTGGTTCGAAGCCAGGAGCTTCATCTGGGTCTTCTACATGGGTGCAGGGGCCCAAGGGCTGAGCCATCTTCTACTGCTTCCCAAGTGTATGGGGGAGAGCTGGGTTGGAAGCAGAACAGCTGGGATGTGAACTGGTGCCCATATGGGAGCCGGCACTGCAGGTGGAGGCTTTACCTGCTATGCCACGATGCAGATCCTGATTGGCACATCTTAAAGCACAATGAGGGAGAGGAAGACTATGTAATGGTTTATTTAGCTGATTACTACACTGGGTGCTAATCATGCCCAAATCAACAAGAACAGTATTCTCTGCCCTGGAGGAAATTCCAAATCTAGTGAAGGAGATGGACCTAGAAATAAAGTGCATTGTGGTAACCTTTGTAATGTGGACATTTGCAAGATGGTATGAAGGCATGACAGAGTAACCAAAGAACTCTCCCTAGAGAATATGGTAGCACTTCTCAGATTGTATTTTTTTTTTTAAGATTTATTTATTTATTTCAAAGGCAGAGTTACACAGAGAGAGAAGGAGAGGCAAAGAGAGAGGTCCTCCATCCACTGGTTCACTCCCCAATTGGCTGCAATGGCTGGAGCTGTGCTGATCTGAAACCAGGAGCCCCTTCTGAGTCTCCCACGTGGTTGCAGAGGCCCAAGGACTTGGGCCATCCTCTACTGCTTTCTCAGGCCATAGCAGAGAGCTGGGTGGGAGGTGGAGCAGCAGCCAGGACTCGAACCGATGCCCATTATGGGATGCTGGCACTGCAGGCGGTGGCTTTACCTACTACACTACAGTGCCAGCCCCAAGATTGTATTTGGAGAAACTAACCCCATGCAACACATTTTTCAAAGTGTGCAATTGGCCCTCCTTATCTGTGGGTTCTATACATGCATGAATTCAATCAACCGTATACTAAAAGAATTTGAAAAAAAAAGTTGCAGCTGTTCTGAACATGTACAGACTTTTTTTCTTGTCGTTATTCCCTATGCAAGGTAAAACAATTTACATAGCATGTGTGTTGTATTAGGCATTGTGAGATGATTAAAAGTGTATGGGAGGAGGCCGGCGCCATGGCTCAATAGGCTAATCCTCCGCCTGTGGCTCTGGTACCCCAGGTTCTAGTCCCGGTCAGGGTGCCGGATTCTGTCTCGGTTGCCCCTCTTCCAGTCCAGCTCTCTGCTGTGGCCTGGGGAGTGCAGTGAAGGATGGCCCAGGTCCTTGGGCCCTGCACCCGCATGGGAGACCAGGAGAAGCACCTGGCTCCTGCCTTTGGATCAGCGCGGTGCGCCGGCCGCAGCGGCCATTGGAGGGTGAACCAACCAAAAAGGAAGACCTTTCTCTCTGTCTCTCACTGTCCACTCTGTCAAAAAAATAAAAATTAAATAAATAAATAAAAAAGCATATGAGAGGATATGTATAGGTCATATACAAATACCATGGCATTTTTATGTAAGGAACTTGAGCGTCCGCACAGTTTTTGGTATTAGCAGAGGTCCTAGAACCAGTCCCTCATGGATACTGAGTGATAACTGTGCTGTGTTTAAATGCTGTCTTCACAATAACAGGAGAGCAGTGTAGCCTGTTTGGCCTTGACCACTGTTCCTTGCCTGCATTGTGGGTGTTGCCCGAATGTGATGAAGCCTGGCTGTCTTCTGTAATGTGCATCAGGATGGCTTTAATTTTAGTGAGAATCGGTCAAATTACTGGTCATGGGCAAGACCTGTTAGTTTCACTTTATAAACAAGAGTTCAGTCATTGTTTAGGATTTGAAATACAAAAATTAGGATCTGATTTTGGTGGGTTTTTTTGTTTGTTTTACATTAGGCTTAATCGTATTAAAACTATTTCTGGCTGTTTTAAGACCAGAGAGCTCTGAATTTTCTTCATTCTGGTTATGCTGGAGACCAAGACCTTCATTAGTTTTTTGATAAAGGGTTTGTTGGGGAGCTGGCACTGTGGCCTAGTAGGCTAGGCCTCCTCCTGTGGCACTGGCATCCCTTATGAGGGCTGGTTCAAGGCCTGGTTGCTCCTTTTTGATCCACCTCTCTGCTATGGCCTGGGAGGGCAATAGATGACCCAAGTACTTGGGCCCCTGCACCTGCATGGGAGACGCAGAAGAAGCTCCTGGCTCCTGACTTCAGATCGACCCAGCTCTGGCCATATCAGCTGTTTGGGGAGTGAACCAGCAGATGAAAGACCTTTCTCTCTCTCTCTCTCTCTCTCTCTCTCTCTCTCTCTCCCCGTAACTACCTCTCAAATAAGTAAATAAAATCTTAAAAAAAAAAGAAAAGAGTTTGTTGGGAAGACAGAATCTTTGTGTTTTCTATTATGAGGCACTGCTGTAAAGAGACCTGCCATAGGATCAGCCTCAGTCACTTTTTGTTTGTGTGTTATGCTGTATTTGAGGTTTAAAGCATTGTTTTAAAGCTCAGTTTATCTAGCTAAAGTGTTGACTCAAGAGAGCGATGAATAAATATACTTAATTAGTAAAGTTAAAAAGAGCTTTGTTTCGCTAGTTTGACATTTCTTTGATAGTAAGTAAACTGCACAAGAAACTTACATAATTTTTTCTGTTGTCTGTTTTGTTAGGAACTTGACCTTAAAATAGCAATTAAGTCTTGTCGCCTAGAGCTAAGTTCCAAAAACAGAGAACGGTGGTGCCATGAAATCCAGATCATGAAAAAGTAAGTACCTTGATGACTTACAGTTCCCTAGATCTTCATCTCAATCAGTTGTCACCATAGCGAAGGGGCCAGGATTCCACTCTTCCTTGGATCTTTCTGGGAATAACGTTTTAGCTCTCTCATTGAAGATATGTGTTCTGGAGCAGGCATCTGGTTCAGTGGTGAAGATGCCACTTGGGACTCCTACATCCCATAATGAAATGCCTGGGTTTGACTCTTTGCTCTGCCTCTGACTCTGCCTTCTTGCTAATGTGTACACTGGGAGGAAAAATATAATGGATGGCTCAAGTGCTTGAGTCCCTACCATTCATTGGGAGACCCAGGTTGAATTCCAGATTTCTGACTTCAGCCTGGCCCAGCCCTGACTGTTGTGGGTACTGGGAAGTGAACCAGCAACTGATAGCTTTCTCTGTCTCTGCCTTTCAAATAGAATGAAAATAAATAATAAACATATGTATTCTGTTTCAGTTAATCATCAGATTATGATTAAGAAAATTCGTTTTTTTTTAAAGATTTATTTTATTTGAAAGTCAGAGTTACACAGAGGAGAGGCAGAGAGAGAGAGTGAGAGAGAGAGAGGTCTTCCATCTGATGGTTCACTCCCTAGTTGGCTGCAACAGCCAGAGCTGCGCCGATCCAAAGCCAGGAGCCAGGAGTTTCCTCCAGGTCTCCCATGTGGGTGCAGAGGCCCAAGGATTTGGGCCATCTTCTACTGTTTTACCAGGCCATAGTAGAGAGTTGGTTCAGAAGAGGAGCAGCCGGGACTAGAACCGGCGCCCAAATGGGATGCTGGCACTTTAGGCCAGGGTGTTAACCCACTGCACCACAGCGCCGGCCCCAAGAAAATTAGTTTTAGAAAGTAACCAGATATCTTCAGACTCAGCTATTTTTTTAGAAAAAGATTTATTTGATTTATTTGTAGGCAGACTTAGAGAAAGTGGAGGATAGAGAGACAGAGAGGTCTTCCATCCACCAGTTCACTACTCAAATGGCTGCATCAACCAGGGTTAGGCCAGGCGGAAGCCAGGAGCAAGTAACCTCTTCTGGGTCTCCCACGTGGGTGCAGGGGCCTAAGAACTTGGGCCATCCTTTGCTGTTTTCCCAGGTGCATTGGCAAGGAGCTGGACTGGAAGTGGAGCAGCTGGGACTCAAACCGGCACCTATATGGGATGCCAGCACCATAGGTGGCTACTTTACCTGCTACGCCACAGCTCCAGTCCCAAGATTCAGCTCTTTAAATGCAGAATCTTTCTTCTAGATCTTGCGCAATGCGTATCTATTATACCTTCTAATTTTTTTTATAGATTTATTTGAAAGTGAGAGTTACACAGAGGAGAGGCAGAGAGAGAGAGAGAAAGAGGTCTTGCATCTGCTGTTTCACTCCCCAATTGGCTGCAATGGCCAGAGCTGCGCCGATCCGAGGCCAGGAGCCAGGAGCTTCTTCCGGGTCTCCCACGTGGGTGCAGGGGCCCAAGGAGTTGGACCATCTTCTACTGCTTTCCCAGGCCATAGCAGAGAGCTGGATTGGAAGAAGTGCCGGCACCTATATGGGATGCCGGCACTTCAGGCCAGGGTGTTAACCCACTGCACCACAGTGCCAGCCCCATATACTTTCTAATTAAACAACAATCAATGTTTTCATTTTTTTTTAAGATTTTTTATTTATTTTATTTGAAAATCAGAGTTACACAGAGAGAGAAGGGGAGGCAGAGAGAGATCTTCCATCTGCTGGTTCACTCCCCAGTTGGCTGCAATGGCCAGAGCTGTGCCAATCTGAAGCCAGGAGCCAGGAGTCTCCTCTTGGTCTCCCATGTGAGAGCAGGGGCCCAAGGACTTGGGCCATCTTCTACTGGTTTCCCAGTCCCTAGCAGAGAGCTGGATCAGAAGCACAGCAGCCAGGACTCAAACTGGCACCCATATGGGATGCCAGCACTGCAGGTGGCAGCTTTACCTGCTATGCCACAATGCCAGTCCCTGCTTTCATTTTTTTAAATGTTTATTTATATATTTTCATCTAGTTGAAAGGCAGAGTGACATCAAGAGAAAGGGAGAGTGAGAGGTTTTCAGCTCATTGACTCACTCCCCAAATGCCCACATGAGTCAGGACAAGGGCCAGGCCAGAGCCAAGAGCCAGGAATTCCATCTGCAACTCTGATGTGAGTGGCAGGGGCCCAAGTACTTGAGCCATCATCATCTGCTGCCTCCTATGATGCATTAGTGGGAAGCTGGGTTGGAAGAGGAGGTACTGGGACTTGAACCAGCACTCTGATACAGGATACAAGTGTCCCAAACACCGGCTTAACCTGCTGTGCCACAGTACCCATTGCCACTCTCATTTCTTTTGCACCTACTTTTTTTTTTAAATAGTGTATGTACTGACTTATAAAAAATTACCCCAAAATTTAGTGGGTTAAAACGCCAAACATTAAATATGTCATAGGTTTTGTGGCTTAATAATTCTGGAGTGGCCTCACTGGGTGGTTCTAGCTGAGTATTTCCCTGAAAGCATCTCAGGATGTTGATTGGAACTGGAAGTATCTGCTTGAAGCTGACTTACATGACTGTTGGCTAAGAGTGTCAAATCCTTAACCATATAAACCTCTCCGTTGGGAAGCTTGAGCACTGAGCAAGTGATCTGGGAGAAAGAGAACAAGATGAGGCCGGCGCTGCGGCTCACTAGGCTAATCCTCCGCCTAGCGGCGCCGGCACACTGGGTTCTAGTCCCGGTCGGGGCGCCGGATTCTGTCCTGGTTGCCCCTCTTCCAGGCCAGCTCTCTGCTGTGGCCAGGGAGTGCAGTGGAGGATGGCCCAGGTGCTTGGGCCCTGCACCCCATGGGAGACCAGGAAAAGCACCTGGCTCCTGGCTCCTGGCTCCTGCCATCGGATCAGCGCGCCGGCCGCGGCGGCCATTGGAGGGTGAACCAACGGCAAAGGAAGACCTTTCTCTCTGTCTCTCTCTCTCACTGTCCACTCTGCCTGTCAAAAAATAAAAAAAAAAATAAAAATAAAAATAAAAAAAAAAAAGAGAACAAGATGAGAGCTGAAGTCATACTCATTCTTTTCTGCCACATACTGTTCCTTAGAAATGAACCACTAAATACATAATACACTAAAGGAGAGGAAAATAAATTCTGGGTTTTTTTTCTTCAGATTTTTGTTTGTTATTTATTTGAGAGAAAGAGGGACAGACAGCTCTCATCTGCTGTTTCACTCCCCAAATGCCTGCAGAGCCAGGACCTCAATCCAAGTTTCCCACATGGATGGCAAGGATAAAACTGCTTGAGCCATCACCTGCTGCCTACCAGGGTGCACATAAACAAGAAGCTGGTGTCAGCAGTGGAGCCAGGACATGAACTCTGGCACTCATATATGGGATATGGGAATCTCCAACAGCGTCTTTTTTTTTTTTTTGACAGGCAGAGTGGACAGTGAGAGAGAGAGACAGAGAGAAAGGTCTTCCTTTGCCGTTGGTTCACTCTCCAATGGCCGCCACGGCTGGCGTGCCACGGCCGGCACACCACGCTGATCCGATGATAGGAGCCAGGTACTTATCCTGGTCTCCCATGGGGTGCAGGGCCCAAGGACTTGGGCCATCCTCCACTGCACTCCCTGGCCACAGCAGAGAGCTGGCCTGGAAGAGGGGCAACCGGGACAGAACCCGGTGCCCCAACCAGGACTAGAACACTGTGTGCCGGCGCTGCAAGGCGGAGGATTAGCCTAGTGAGCCATGGCGCCGGCCCTCCAACAGTGTCTTAACTGCTTACCAAACACCTATCTTGAGAATTAAGTTCTTGAAGGAAGAAGGCATATTTTAAAACTTCACAAGTGATGTGCTAAGTGCTTTAAAGATCATTCTTCTGTTCATTATAGCAACCTTGTATTTAGGTATTATCCCTATTTTATAAATAGGAAGTCAAAGCTCATAGTCACATAGCTATGTCTATTAGAGTCTGGATTTTAAATGAATACTCTGACTCCAGTGTATACTCACTTCACTTTAATGGTTCTCAGTCCTGGCTGTTTGAACCAAACCACGTGAAATTCTCAGGCCCTACACATGGAGATAATGTTTCTTTATGTCTCTAGGACGTGGAAATTATACTAGTTTGGTGATTCATTATATCTTGATAAAGATGGCGACTGGAATGATATATCATTAAGTTTTTTGTTTGTTTTATTTATTTATTTGAAAGGCAGAGTTACAGAGAGAGAGCAAGATCTTCCATCTGTTGGTTCACTGCACATATAGCCACAATGGCCAGGGCAGGGCCAGGCCAGAGTCAGGAGCATCTTCTGGGTCTCCCACATGAGTGCAGGGGCCCAACTACTTTGGCCATCCTCTACCACTTTCCTCAGGCACCTTAGTGGGGAGCTGGATCAGAAGTGGAGCAGTCGAGACTTGAACTGGCACCCATATGGGATGTGCAGACTACATGCAGCGGCTTTACCCTGTACAGCACAGTGTCAGCCCCTATTGTTAAGTTTTTAAAAAGAGCTGTTAGGGGGCTGGCACTGTTGCGTAGTGGGTAAAGCCGCCTCCTGCAATGCTGACATCCTATATGGGTGCCGGTTCAAGTTCCAACTGCTCCACTTCTGATCCAGCTCTCTGCTATGGCCTGGGAAAGCAGTAGAAGATGGCCCAGACGCTTGGGCCCCTGCACCCACGTGGGAGACCTGGAGGAGACTCCTGGCTCCTGGCTTCGGATCAGCACAGCTCCGGCTGTTGGCAGCCATGTGGGGAGTGAAACAGTGGATGGAGGACCTCTCTATCTCTCTTTCTGCCTCTGCCTCTCTGTAACTCTGCCTTTCAAATAAATAAATAAATCTTTTTTAAAGAAAAGAGCTATTAGAAAACAATATATAGTATAATTTTTTTTATTAATTCACTCAGTTTAATCATTCCACATTGTTTAAAATATATAGTATAATTTGATATTTATCAAAAATTTATATTTGTTCACAGACCAAAAACTAGAAGGAAATATTTTAATAGTATTCCACCTTTGGGTGACACTATGAGTGATTATGGGAGAGCAGTATGATATTGGCTTTGGGGCCATATCAAGATTTTATTCCTTACTTGACTTCCTACCTAGTGTGTGATCATACGTTACTAAACCAATTTGTGCTTCAGTTTGTTGTTGTGTGATGAAACTATTGATAAACCTACCTATACTAGGATTATTATGACAAGTAGTATATACGTGTTAATATAAGTAAACTGCTTACTACTTGGCACATAGAAATGTAATAGTACTAATAATGGTGTTTTTATATGTATTTTCGTTTTGAAAATTACGAAGTTTTAATTATACAAATCAGAAGTTAGAATACTACTAAAAATGCTAGACTTCCTTTCCCATCTCCCTCTTGTTAACTGCCATTTCACATCCAGTCCTTTTTTATTGGAGAAGAACTTTTTATAATAATGTTGTCTGCTTTTTGGTAGGTTGAATCATGCCAATGTTGTAAAGGCCTGTGATGTTCCTGAGGAATTGAATTTTTTGATTAATGATGTGCCTCTTCTAGCAATGGAGTACTGTTCTGGAGGAGATCTTCGGAAGGTAGTGTGGACATTTTAAATAAGATACAGTAAATCTCAAATTATAGAAGTGCTTGAACCACATCCAATGTGATAATCTAGAACAAAAATCAGAATACTGTGGCCCACTGCCTTTTGTTGATAAAGTTTTACTGGAACACAGCCATGCTCATTGCTTAACATATAACTATGGCAGCTTTTGAACAGCTGCAGAATTGAGTGGTTGTGGTGAGATCAGATGGCTAAAGTATTTGTTCTTTGTCCTTTACAGAAAATTTTTGCTGACATCTGATTTAGAACACACTTTTTTTGTTGTTTGCAAGGTAGTGTAATATCAGAATATCATGTTTAAGGTGCTTATAAAAAGTCATTTTCTCTATTGTAATCTCTCCTATTTCATTTTAAATGTGACCATATGGCTTTTTTTTTTTTTTTTTAAGAATTATTTATTTACTTGAGAGGCAGAGTTATAGACAGAGAGAGGAAGAGACAGAGAGGTCTTCCATCCAGTGGTTCACTCCCCAAACGGCTGCAATGCCTGGAGCTAGGCCAATCCGAATCCAGGAGTTTCTTTCGAGTCTCCCATATGGCTGCAGGGGCCCAAGCAAATGGCCCATTTTCTACTACTGTCCCAGGACATAGCAGAGAACTGGCTCGGAAGTGGAGCAGCCAGGACTCGAACTGGCGTCCATATGGGATGCCGGTACCACAGGCAGATGCTTAACATACTAGACCACAATGCCAGCAGTTATTATTATATATCTTACATCTGTGAGGTTTGTTGATCTTTTCTTTCAATTTCAAATACTTTTATCCCTTTATTTTTATGAGCCTAGTCGTGAAATTCACATGTCCTTGATATAGACTTGGGAACTTTTTTCCCCTTATGCTTTCTTTTCTTTTTAATTTTTAATATTAAGATTTATTTCTTGGGGCCGGTGCTGTGGTGTAGCAGGTAAAGACACCACCTGCAGTGCCAGTATTCCATATAGGCACTGGTTCAAGTCCTGGCTATTCCACTTCCTATCCAGTTCCCTGTTAATGTGCCTGGGAAAGCAGCAGAAGATGGCCCAAGTGCTTGGGAGCCTGCACCCGCACAGGAGATCTGGAGGAAGCTCCTAGGTTCAGCCTGGCCCAACCCCGTCTGTTGTGGCCATTTGAGGAGTGAACCAGCAGATGAAAGATCTCTCTGTCTCTTATCTCTCCACCTCTCTGGGTGACTTTGTCTTTCAAATAAATAAACATTTAAAAAAGAAAAATCTTTATTTCTTTATTTGAAAGGCAGAGTTACAGAGATAGAAGGAGAGACAGACAGAGCTGCCACCTGCCTTTTCACTCCCAAAATTACTGCATGACCAGGGTTGGGCCAGGCCAAATGCCAGAACCCAGAGCCTGAACTCCATCTAGATCTCCCTTGTGGGTGCATGGAGCCAACAATTTGGGCCATCTTCTGTTTTCCAGGCTCATTATCAGGGAGCTGGATCGGAAGTGGAGCATCCAGGACTTGAGTTGGTTCCCGTATGGGTTGCTGGTGTTGCAGGCAGCTGCTTTACTTGCTGTGCCACAATGCCACCCTCCCCATCCCATACTTTCTTTATCATGACTTATTTTCTCATCTGAATGTTATAGTGATTAATGCATGTCACTCTTGGTGCCTAGCAACTCAAAGTACACTTTTTTTTTTTTAATATTTATTTATTTGAAAGGCAGTTACAGAGAGGCAGAGGGAGAGAGAGAGAGAGGTCTTTAATCTGCTGGTTCACTCCCTAAAAGGCCCCAACAGCTGGAGCTGGGCCATTCCGAAGCCAGGAGCCAGGAGATTCTTCTGGGTCTCCCATGCAGGTGCAGGGGCCCAGGGATTTGGGCCATCTTCTACTGTTTTACCAGGCCATAGCAGAGAGCTGGATCAGAAGTGGAGCAGCTGGGACTCGAACCAGCGCCCATATGGGATGCCAGCACTGCAGGTACGCCACAGCACTGGACCCTCAGTACACAATTTTAAATTTATTTTTTTTCCTTTAGCTACTCAACAAACCAGAAAATTGTTGTGGACTTAAAGAAAGCCAGATACTTTCTTTATTAAGTGATATAGGTATGTAATCAATATTAAAATGTCATTATAATGTAATGCTCATTTGGTCTATAAAAATTTGTATACTACTTGGGAATTAAGGAGAATTGTTGATACACTATATAAAACATAGATTTTTAACATCTATAAGAAATTATAAAAATCTATTACTGTTAGGTACTAAATTGAAACTAAGATATTTCATTATTTCTGTTTAGTTTAGGCTAAGAGCCTTTGTCTTATAAATGTTCCATTTGCTTGCAAAAAATGGTATGAAATGGCCTTATTCAAATTTCACTTCCCCATCCCAATCAACATAGTAGTTCTGTTTACGATGGAATTGCATAAATTTGGGAGATAGGTCCTTAAGTCAACTCTTTAATCAGAATTGTTCCTTAAAGCTCCCTAAAATAATTGATACAAAGGTCTATGGAAAAAGCTCAAAAACCAATAATTTATTTTATATATCTTTTGGTTTGCATCTTTTCCCAGGTCATGGGGCCAAAGTCTAGTTGAACAGGGTGATTTAGTTGGGAAGAAAAGGCCATAAGAATTACAAGGATTTTTTTAATTGTTTATTCTACTTTTTAGTGCTAATTCTCATAAGTTAAATGAGATTGTATTGTAGTTCTTCAGTGTTTATTTAGTGTTACTGTATTTTCTAGGAGTGTTTAATGTTACTGTATTTATAAAAATGGGAATTGTAGTATTGGTTGTACAGTTAAGATGGCCCATAAAAATTTTTTAGAGCAGATCTGTATAAAATGTGAGGTGAATTTTTTTTAACTCAGTGTTCTCTGTTACTTTAAAATATATTTTAAACTTTATTTAGGGTCTGGGATTCGATATTTGCATGAAAACAAAATTATACATCGAGATCTAAAACCTGAAAACATAGTTCTTCAGGATGTTGGTGGAAAGGTAGGTAAAACCTGAAGAAATGTTCCTTAACTGTTGAATATAGTTTCCTTGATTGAGTTAATATTTGAGCTTTAGAGTCCTTGCTTTTTATCCTTGGCATTACATACTTTTTCTATTTCAGTTTTTGCTTTACTGAATTATAGTTGTTGTTGTGTTTGTGGTTTTTGTCTTTTTTCAAGATTTATTTACTGGACTGGCATTGTGGCATGGTAGGTAAAACTGCTGCCTGCTATGCCTTCATCCCAAATGGGTGTTGGTTCTTATCCCAGCTGCTCCATTTCCAGTTCAGCTCACTGCTAATGGCCTGGGAAAAGCAGCAGAAGATGGCCTCAAGTGTTTGGGCCCCTGCCACCCAGGTGGAAGACCTGAATAAAGCTCTAGGCTCCTGGTTTCGGCTTGGCCTGAAACTGGCCATTGTGGCCATCTGGGAAGTGAAGCAAATGAAGATCTCTCTCTGTTTCTCCCTCTCTCTTTGTAACTCTGACTTTTATTTATTTATTTATTTGAAAGGCAAAATGGCAGAGATCTTCTGTCTGCTGGTTCAACTCCACAAATGGCTGCAACAGTCAGGGCTGGGCCAGGCAGAATTCAGGAACCAGGAACTTCATCCTTTATGAGTAGCAGGAACTCAGATACTTGAGTCAACATATACTGCCTTCCCAGTGCATTAGCAGGAAGCTGGATAGGAACCAGAGTAGCCAGGACTTAATCCAAGCACTCCAGTGTGGGATATGGGCATCCCAATCAGCGGTTTAACCTGTTGTGCCACATTGCCTGCCCCTGGTATTTGTTTTTTGTTGTTGTTGTTGTTTGAGAAGCAGAGCTCCCATCCACTGATTGACTCCTCAAATGACCACAACAGGTAGAGCAAGACCAGGGCTGATACCAGGAACTAGGACAATCCAGGTCTCCTATGTGGATGACGGGAACCTGAGACTTTGAGTTTTGTGTATAACTTTTTTTTGTTTCCTCTGCTAAACAGTGGCACAATTGGAGAAGGAACTACACTCATCTTGTTCATGTCTGTTTTTCTGGAATAGTAACTAGCAGAATAGGAGTCAATGAGTAAATAATTTGTTAACTTGAATTATTTTATTCTTATAAAGTATATTCAAAACACATACACACAAATCATGGGCCTGCTTTACTTTAAGAAAAAATTTATGTGTTTTTTTTTTTAATTTGTTCTCCTCCAAAATCCTTTGTTTTTCTTTCTTTCTTTTGAAAGGATTTATTTATTTATATATTTGCTTATTTTTTATCTATTTGAATGCGAGTTATAGATAGAAAGAGAAAGATCTAGAGAGAGATTGAGAGAGAGAGAGAGAGATCTCCCATCCTCTAGTTCATTCCCCAAGTGGCTGCAATGGCCATGGCTGGACCAGGCCAAAGCCAGGATCCTGGAATTCCATCTGGGTCTCCCTTGTGGGTGGCAGTGGTCCAAGCACTTGGGTCACCTTCCACTGCCTTCCCAGGAGTGTTAGCAGGGAGCTGGATCAGAAGTGGAGTGGTCAGGACTTGAACTGGTGCTCATATGAGGGGCTATCATTGCAGGCAGTGCCATAACCTGGCATGCCACAATGTTGGCCTCCCTCCAATATCCATTCTGTGTTTAATTAAAATTTAAAAATTTCATTTCTCTGATTCATAAAATTCAAAACTTCCATTGCTCTTGAGAAGAACCAGAAATTGTGAACTAACTTAATTTCTAAAATGTTCATTTTCATCAGAAAATTTGACCAGTTCTCTTGTGTCTGCCATCCAAGTTGCATTCCAATAAAACTTAAAGCTGAGAGTCTGAACCTTGCATTGGATTAGGTATTCTTTAGACAGTGAAGTTGGTGATTGATCAGTTGGAGGTGATAGAACCTAGGAGACGATCCTTTTCTTTAGAGCCTTTCATGTATCCTTCCCACCAGTACCTCTGCTCTTTTGGTATACAAAAACTTTGGTACATTCTTGAAGATAGGTAGGTATTTACTCAGAGTTAACCCACTGCAACGTGATATGATAGTTCTTCAAGTTTGGAAGTCACATCTTAACCTTTGCCTCCCAATTTAATGGGTCAAACTTATTCTGAATATACCAAATTAAAAATTAATCTATATTTAATTTTTACCTTGTATCACTATACTGTAAGAAGTTCTTTTCTTGACTACTTCATTAAATTCTAATAACTTTTTAAAAAGATTTATGTATTCGAAAGAGTTAGAAAAAAAGAGAGAGATCTTCCATCCACTGATTCACTCCCCAAATGGCCACAACTGCCGGAGCTGAGCTGATCTGAAGCCAGGAGCCAGGAGCTTCTTCTGGGTCTCTCACGCTGGTGCAGGGGCCCAAGCACTTGAGCCATCTTCTGCTTCTTTCCCACACACGTTAAGAAGGAGCTGGTGGCCGGCGCCGCGGCTCAATAGGCTAATCCTCCGCCTGCGGCGCTGGCACCCCGGGTTCTAGTCCTGATTGGGCGCCGGATTCTGTCCCGGTTGCCCCTCTTCCAGGCCAGCTCTCTGCTGTGGCCCAGGAGTGCAGTGGAGGATGGCCCAAGTGCTTGGGCCCTGCACCCGCATGGGAGACCAGGAGAAGCACCTGGTTCCTGCCTTTGGATCAGCACGGCGGCCATTGGAGGGGGAACCAACGGCAAAGGAAGACCTTTCTCTCTGTCTCTCTCTCTCTCTCTCACTGTCCACTCTGCCTGTCAAAAAAAAAAAAAAAAAAAAAAAAAAAAAGGAGCAGCTGGAGCAGAAGTAGAGCAGCCGCCAGTCTCGAACTGGCCCATATGGGATGCCCATATGGCCCATTTGGGGACCTGCTGTGCCACAGCTCTGGCCCTGAATTCTGATAAGTTGGTGAAGAAAGGAATATTAGTCATCTAATTACATGAAAATTTGGAGAACTTCACTTGATAAGATCACATGACTTGTTAAGTGGTGCAGCTTGGGCTTGAAACTTGTCTACATTATTCCAGAGCCCAGGCTGTTTCTCTATGGCTTTTTTGCCTTTCCTTTTCAGATTTCTCAACCTTGTAATACTTACTGTTATATTTTTCAGATAATGCATAAAATAATTGATCTGGGATATGCCAAAGATGTTGATCAAGGAAGTCTATGTACATCTTTTGTGGGAACACTGCAGTATTTGGTGAGACATGTTTTGTTTCTTTGAATTTAAGTGTGTAAGAATTTCATTCTTGTTCCTGAAGGTCATGAATAAAATAGTCCAGAAATAAAGTAGCCTTTCTTTTATAGTATTAACATTTAAGCATCTCTCTTTTTAAGGCCCCAGAGCTTTTTGAGAATAAGCCCTACACAGCAACTGTTGATTACTGGAGCTTTGGGACCATGGTCTTTGAATGTATTGCTGGATATAGGCCTTTTCTACATCATCTGCAGCCGTTTACCTGGTAAGAACTGGAGGGGATCTTTGATATCCTTAATAGGAATAAAATTTTTTTTTAGTTGTCTGGTTTTTTTTCTTCTTTATTTTTTTCTTCTTTTGATAGGATTCCTATTAAACACGCAATTGAATAAAATTAAATGGGAAGAAATCTTAAAAGTGTGAAAATCAGGGCTTTTTTTTTTTTTTTAAAGATTTGTTTTATTTATTAGAAAGCCAAGGTTACAGAGAGAATCTTCGATAACCTGCTTCACTCCCCAAATGGTTGCAATGGCCAGCCCGGGCCACATTGCAGGCAGGAGCCAGGAACTCTGTCCAGATTTCCACGTGGGTGGCAGGGGTCGAAGTATTTTGGCCATTTTCTTTTTTTTTCTTTTTTTGACAGGCAGAGTGGACAGTGAGAGAGAGAGACAGAGAGAAAGGTCTTCCTTTACCGTTGGTTCACCCCCCAGTGGCCGCTGTGGCCGGCATACTAAGCTGATCCGAAGCCAGGAGCCAGGTGCTCCTCCTGGTCTCCCATGTGGGTGCAGGGCCCAAGGACCTGGGCCATCCTCCACTACACTCCTGGGCCACAGCAGAGAGCTGGCCTGGAAGAGGGGCAACCGGGACAGAATCTGGCGCCCCGACCAGGACTAGAACCCCGGGGTGCCGGTGCTGCAGGCGGAGGATTAGCCTATTGAGCCACGGCGCCGGCCTGGGCCATTTTCTGTATTCCCAGGAAGCTGGATCCAAAGTGGAGCACCAAGACTTGAACCGACGCTTACAGAAAGCTAGCATCATAGGCAACAGCTTATCCCAGCCCTGAGAATCAGGTTGTTAACTGAGATATCTTTTGTTTTTAAAGGCATGAGAAGATTAAGAAGAAGGATCCAAAGTGTATATTTGCATGTGAAGAGATGACAGGAGAAGTTCGGTTTAGTAGCCATTTGCCTCAACCAAATAGCCTTTGTAGGTAAGTGTATTTTAGTTGATGAAGTGCTTTTTTTTTTTTTTTTTCAGTTTTATTTATTCATTTGAGAGGCACAGTTACAGACAGAGAGAGACAGAGAGAGAGGTCTTCCATCCCCTGGTTCACTCCCCAGCTGGCTGCAATGGCTGGAGGTGGGCCGATGCAGAACCAGGAGCCAGGAGCTTCTTCCAGGTCTCCCACATGGGTGCAGGGGCCCAAGCACTTGGGCCATCTTCCACTGCTTTCCCAGGCCGTCAGAAGGGAGCTGGATCAGAAATGGAGCAGCCAGGACTCAAATTGATGCCTATATGGGATGTTGGCACTGCAGGCAGAGGTTTAACCTACACCACAGTGCTGGCCCCTGGTTGATGAAGTTTACCTCAGTTTCTCCAGGGTTAAGAACAACAGAGTAGTTATTTGTTTCAGGAGACCTTTCTGTAATGATGGATATGTTTTATAGCTCTGTTGACCCCATAACTCTATTGAGCACGTAGAGGTGGCTAGTAAAGTAAGGAAATGAATATTAAATAAATTGAAAGTGTAAGTAGCTGTTTGTGACTGCCATACTGGACAGTACAATCTAGCAGAAACATGAACTGCTGCCATTCAACTGACCGGCTTAGATATCAGGAAGACTCTTGAGATGAAGAAGTAAAGGAGTTCGTAATGGAGTTAGCACTCATCTGCTGCAGTTGCCATTAACAGGCTTACATATATGAGTTTCGGTTTTTGTTTTATTGTTTTTTTTAATGGTTAATGCTTATCCCTTGTTATTTCATGAATTATTTTAAAATAAGATATAAAATGTACAGGTAAGCAATAGGAAAGAAATTGGACAACCTAAAGGAAAATTAGAACATAATGATTTTACCCTGTTTTTGTACATTTTCTAGTTTAATAGTAGAACCTATGGAAAACTGGCTACAGTTGATGCTGAATTGGGACCCTCAGCAGAGAGGGGGACCTGTTGACCTTACTTTGAAGCAGCCAAAATGTTTCATCTTAATGGATCACATTCTGAATTTGAAGGTTAGTTTTAGTGGAGTACTTCATAAGACCTGCATTGAAGTTAACAGATTGATTTGGAAATGAGTACAAATGCCTTCAATAATCTTTTCCTGACACTTCCTTGAAAAAGAAAATGATATTCTCATAATTGTTATATTTTAATTTTTATTTACTTTACTTCTGTAGCTAACTTTCTCATTTTTCTTCTAAGTGGTCTTTGTAGATTATTCCTTTGAAGCATCTTTTGAATTTTCTCCTAATGAGGTGGCATTCTCACCTTTCATTTGGGTATAATGATACTGGATTTAGTTTGGTAAGGAAAGTTCCTGCTGGTCTTCCTGCTTCTGTACTCACTCCCCATTGCATAGTGCAATATGAACTGTACTCTCATCTTCTGAAAATGCTTTTACTCTTCTGTCTGGGAAACTAACATAGTTCTTTTTTGTCTACCAAGTCACATCTAAACTGATCTGCTTGGCCTTTGGTGGCTTTCCTAATGCAGATCCACTCTAACCAAGTACAAGCCTCATTCCTGCTTCTCTTAGCCTTGGCCTCACTCAGAGTCAGCTTGCACCTACTCCTTATGCCATCAAACTCTGTCCATTTTTGAATCTTGGGAGATGCTGTCACTCCTCAGTGTGATCTCCACCTTTGTTTATCTCCATATCTGGCATATCTTAAACTTGCCTCTTCTTTAAATGGTGTCTATCACACAGTTTTTCACTTAATCACATTTTCTATATTCTGTATTTCTTATCTGCTATTCACTCCTCTCCACGTAGATTGTCTTCTTCAATGTTGAGATTGTTTTACTGCTTTTATTAACAGTCACTCCATTCTACCTTGGCATTCTGTACAGAGCAAGGCATATATCAGATTCTCAGTAAATGCCTGCTGATATGGATTAGAGGTATAGATAGTTCTATTACAATATATACCCACAAACAACTTTCATCTGTAGTATTTCCATAATCATTGATTGTCTGTGGTATACAGGGTTTCTAAAATTGACATAGGAAATCATAATCATATAAAATTTTATATCTAATCTTGGCATACTTTACTAAATGGAAACTGGAGTTCATGTTGATACTATTCTTGGCTGACACTGGAAACATATCTGGCTTCTTGATTTTATATTTTTTTATTGTGCCAAAGAATAAAATCATTCCCCAGTGTGCTGGCAAAATAGGACTTGATGGCACTTTTTATTTCTGTGTTGCATCAGAAAAAGTTTTGGTGTACATATCTTAAGTTTTTTTGCAGACTTGTCATGGTAATCATAGTATCATTTCTGCTTTGAAGAGGTCTGAGCATCTGCTTGTCAAAGAGAGTGAGGAGTCACGGGATTTCTGGTCCATAGATTTTAGTTCAGTTTGTAGCACCACTGTTTACCTATCTGGGGATCTCAGCAAATATTTACCCTCTCTTTAGCTGAGAGACCGTAATATCTTCCTCAGCAGATCAGTATTGTTATGAGGTTGCACAGAATAAGATGTGTGTAGGATACTACTCAGAGTGTTTCAGGAGGCTTCAGGAAAATGCTTCCTGGACATGATAATGGGACTGAATTGTGAAGAATAAGTAAGTTATTAGGAGAGTGGTGGGAGTGGGAAAAGGGAGCATCAAAGAGCCAAACCATAGAAACATAAACTGTAAAACAGGTTGGTGTTATTGTGGGACATTTTGTGCAAGGAAGGGATGGTACCATTTTAATTTTTCATATAAAAAATAAAGCACCATGGACAGACATTTGGTACAGCTCCTGAGATGGCTGTGTATATCAGAGTGCCTGGGTTTGAGACCCCCACTTCTGATTCCAGGTTTCTGCTAATGCACACCCTGGGAGTCAGCAGGCAATAACTCAAGTATTTGAGTCTCAACCACTCACATGGGAGACATGGATTGAGTTCCAGGCTCTGTGCTTCAGCCTGGTCTAGACCTGGCTATTGTGGACATTAGGGAAGCGAACCATTAGTTGGAAGATTTCTTTGTCTGTCTCTGTCTCTTTGCCTTTCAAATGAAGTGAAAACAAATAAGTAAATATTAGATGAGTCCAACTTGAAAAAAGAAAGCAACAGAAAATTTACTGAAATATTTTCTTTTTAAGAACGCAATTTGAAGAGTCTGCATGTGTATTTTTCCATCTATTCTTATGAAAAGCTTTAAATATGTAAGAAAGTTTTAAATGTCACTGAACCTACCAATGAAGATAATCAAGCACAAGCATTTGATTATTCCTTCTTTACTTTTTTTTTTTTTTTTTGACAGTTGTTTTTTAAATGAACCAAAGATCTGAACAGACATTTTACCAAAGGATAGGCACATGGCAAATAAGTACATTAAAAGATGCTTGTTGGCCGGCGCAGCGGCTCACTTGGCTAATCCTCCACCTGTCGCGCTGGCACCCCGGGTTCCAGTCCCTGTTGGGGCGCTGGATTCTGTCCTGGTTGCTCTCTTCCAGTCTACCTCTCTGCTGTGGCCCAGGAAGGCAGTGGAGGATGGCCCAAGTACTTGGGCCCTGGACCCGCATGGGAGACCAGGAGGAAGCACCTGGCTTCTGGCCATTTGGGGGGGTGAACCAACAGAAAGGAAGACCTTTCTCTCTGTCTCTCTCTCTCACTGTCTAATTCTGCCTGTTAAAAAAAAAAAAAAAGGTGCTCGTTAGCATTAGTATTTTGGAAAATGCAAATAAAACCATGATGAAATATCTCTACATACCAATTAAAATGGCTAAAATTTAACATTATTCATACCAAATGTTGGCGAAGCAGTAGAGTACCTGGGTCTCTAAAACACAGCCAGCAGCAATGTAAAATGGTATAACAGCTTAGGAAATAGTTTGATAGCTTCTTAAAAAATTAAACACACAACAACCATAAAACCCAACCATTGTACTCTTAGAAATTTATCTTAAAGGAATGAATGTGTATTGCCCGACCAAACATATAATTCAAAATGCTTATAGTGGTTTTCTTTTAATAGCCCAAACTTGGAAACTATCCAGATTTCTTGTCAACAGTCGAATGGACAAAAAAACATGGTATATCCATAGCATGGAGTACAATTCAGCAATAAGGAACGAACCATTGACACACATAACAACATGGATGAACATCAAAATACTTCTGTAATTACTCCTTCTTTACATGCCCCTAAATATAACTATATCCTGAGACTCTCTCTTTGGTTCTCTTTTGCCATATTATTTTTCCTTCCTTCTCTCAGGTAGTCTCTTCAACTGTGTAACTTTCCCTATAATCTGAGTGCAGAAATAACCTAAATGTTCATCAGCAGATGAATGGATAGAGAAAATGTGGTGTATACACAATGGAATGTTACTCAGTTTTTAAAAAGAGAGGGTGGGACTGGCTTTGTGATGCAGCATGTTAAACCCTGCTTGCAATGCTACCACCCCAAGTCAGAGTGCCAGTTTGAGTCCTCACTGCAACATTTCTGGTCCAGCTCCCTGCTAATGTTCATGGGAAGGTAGTGGAAGATGGCTCGAGTGCTTGGGCCCCTGCCAACCATGTGGGAGAGCCGGATAGAATTCTGGGTTCCTGGCTTCAGTCAAGCCCAGACCTGGCTTTTATGGCCATTTGGGGAGTGAATCAGTGGATGGAAGATCCCCCTCCCTCTGCCTCTCTTTTTGTTTCTCTTGCTCCGCCTTTCAATTGAAAAAATATTTAGGAGGGTGGGGAAAGAAGGAAATCCTGCCACTTGGGTAACAGAAAGAGAAATACTGCATAATCTCACTTATCTGTAGAATCTAAATAGTCAAAGAAGCAGAGTAAAATGGTGGTTGCCTGGAGTAGTGGGGTTGGGAGAAGATGATGTTGGTAAAAAAGTACAAAAATGATAACTGAAGAGGTGATAGGTGTGTTAATTAGCTGAAATGTAGTAATCTTTCACAGTGTATAGCCATACATCAGGTTGTATGTGGTTACTTCAAAAAGTTCGTAGAAAATGGAATTAAAAGAGTGTGGGGTGGGCGTTTGACCAAGTCACCTATTGGAACTCCCACTTGCCATATCCAAGTGTCTGAGTTCCAGTTCCAACTCTTTTCAATTCCAGTTTCCCACTAATAAACATTCTGGGAAGAAGCAGGTGATGGTTCAAGTAGTTAAATCCTTGCCACTCATGGGAGAATTGGATTGAGTTCCTGGCTCTCAGTTCCAGCCTATTGTGAGCATTTGGGGAATGAACTAGCAGATGGGAACGTACTCTCTGTTTCCATGTCTATCTCCCCCTTGCTATTTGTTTCTCTGCCTCTCAAAAAAAAAAAAAAAAAAAGAGAGAGATAATTTGTGCTTATACAATTTAAATATATACAGTGTTTATGTGTCAAAAATTAAGCTTTCCAGAGACCAAAAAAAGAAAAAAGTACCTTAAGAAAAAGGGCTATTAAGGAGGTATAGATGAATGAAGATTGGTTCTATATAAACCATGATTGAAACTAGACAGGCATTCACAAAGTTGGCAGGAGGGTTGGGATTCTGTCATCTTTAATTTTGTGGGTTTGAAAACATCAGTTAAAATTTGTACTTAAGGAGAACAAAAAAAGAAATAATTAGTACCTTAGATCAATGCTTTACCTTTGTAGTGACGCTTTCTGGCAGAGACAGTTTTAATCATTTGCATATACTAGTCAATGCAAATGGAGAAATGTAGGTATTAGTTTTATATGACTTATCTAAGGGTGATGGAAGGAAGAGAATTTAAAACCCTGTGTTCAAAAGAGTGACCCCCAATTCTGTAACTATCCTTGACTACCTGGATGTAGCCCCACCTGATTCAGTCTCACACTCATTTGACCTGCATCAGGCTCTTTTACTGGGGTTTTAGGTCAGAGTAATGAGATTGTTCTAATTTTGGACCCTTAGGTCACTGCTCTGAGATTTGGTTGCCATATGAGGGTTACAGCACTTTTCCTATACGTTTTAGGACACCTTGCTCTCCTATCAGATAATTGATGTTGCCTCTTCTTCAGGCAACATGGGGTAGTCAGTTAAGAGTTCAGATCTGGGCTTTACCAGTCACTGTGATCCCTAACAAGTTTAATTTCTTAAAGCCTCGGTTTCTCCCTCTGATAAAATGGAGATTAGGAGATCCAGTTAAAGGGGATGTCATATGGAAGCTTTTAACTCTTTGGTTGGCATCTGGTAGACATTTCTTAGATGGGACTGTTTCCTTTTAGGTCTATGATGTTTCTCAAAATAAATATATATTTTTTTAAATTGAGATTTTTATTTATTGATTTTGGGCCTTCCTAATAATTTGAAATTTTATTTGTTGGAGCTAATATCTATTGTAATAGAAAAGTAAACTACTTTTTAATTTTCAGAATGTCATAATTATAGGAGGATATCTCTCTCACTTTAGAGAATGAGTGAACCTTCTTTAGTATAGAAATAATGTCTTTTGTTTTTCCTCCTCTTTTTTTGTCTTGCAGCTGAATCTTAAATATAGCAAATGATCACTGTGTATCTTTTTCCTATTTACAGATAGGGCACATCCTAAACATGACTTCTGCAAAGATAATTTCTTTTCTGTTACCACCTGATGAAAGTCTTCATTCACTACAGTCTCGTATTGAGCGTGAAACTGGAATAAATACTGGTTCTCAAGAGCTTCTTTCAGAGACAGGAATTTCTCTGGATCCTCGAAAACCAGCCTCTCAGTGTGTTCTAGATGGAGTTGTAAGCAAATTTTAATATACCTACAGTCTGATAAGAAACCTCTTTGTAGAGAGGTCTGCATTTTTTATGCATCCTTGGAATCCCTTGGGATGGTACACATTTTATAATGAGTTTTTTAGTTTACCCTACTTCTCTTATTGTTTTTACAAGGTGAACAAGATAGAAATGAAATGTTTGTTATTTTGAACTTTGTTATATTTTTTCTTTGGTGCCAGGTCTCTCCTCCCACGTTTCCTTCTTTCATTTGAAGCCAAGAACTTTGAAATTAAACTAGCAGTCTCACAGATCCTGCCAGAAGATAGAGGGGTGATAAAATATGATTGTGGTCATGAGGGTTTTTTGCTTTATATTTTTTATTTTTATATTTGTGACTTTTTGGAGGCCTATCTTAGATACCACATAATTCACCCATTTCAAGTGTATAATTCAGTGATTTATTTTAAAGTGTACCAAATTGTGCAGTTGTCACCATAAATGTGTTTGAAAACCTTTCTTTCTCGGCCGGCGCCGCGGCTCACTAGGCTAATCCTCTGCCTGCGGCGCCAGCACACCGGGTTCTAGTCCCGGTTGGGGCGCCGGATTCTGTCCCGGTTGCCCCTCTTCCAGGCCAGCTCTCTGCTGTGGCCCGGGAGTGCAGTGGAGGATGACCCAGGTGCTTGGGCCCTGCACCCCATGGGAGACCAGGATAAGTACCTGGCTCCTGCCATCGAATCAGCGCGGTGCGCTGGCCGCAGCGCACCAGCCGCGGCAGCCATTGGAGGGTGAACCAACGGCAAAAGGAAGATCTTTCTCTCTCTCTCATTGTCCACTCTGCCTGTCAAAAAAAAAATTAAAAAAAAAAAAAAACTTTCTTTCTCAATAAGAGCCTTCATGACCATTAATTATTTTTTATGAATCATAAGAATATCCTCCATTTAATACATTAAAAAAAAATGGGTCCTGAGAACAAATTCTGTCGTTAATTATAAGGAAGCACCTAAGAAAACAAGCTATGGAGTTGGATACTTAGGCATAATTAAAACTCACAAGATATGAGAATATCCTCCATGTTATACACTAAAACAAAATAAATCTTTGAGAACAAGTTTTACTGTTTACTCTCATAATACAGCTCTTTGAGGACAGACGTTCTGCATGGGGAGTTAGTGCACAGTGATTCCTGTTGTTAATTTAACAATTAACACTCTATGTATGACGTCAGTGATCACCCGAATGACCATTAGTTATTAATCTTTCTGCCTACTTTAGCCAACCATAAATCCACTTCTGTCAATAGACTGCAGTGCTACTCTGAACTCTTTTCTGAACATGTCAGACAAATGGAATAATATAATAATGTATAGTTTCTTGTATCTGATTAATTTAATACTATTTTTTGAGATTGAAGCATGTATTTATACTTCATTCCTTTTTATTATTGAATGATCATTTTATTGTATAGGTAAATGCCTTTTTGCATTTGCTCTTTTGAGTTTGTTTTTCACTTTAGCCCATACTGAAGTGTTTCTTTTCCTTTCAACAAAAGTTTAGACTCTAATTCTGTAAGATGTGTTTGCTAATGCACATTGACTTTGTTCATTGGCATTTTATACTAGGAAATCTGATACTTAAGTATTTAGAGAACTTGGGATTTTCAAGAATCTTTGGGCTGAATTTTAATTGTTTCTTTTTCAGAGAGGCTGTGATAGCTATATGGTTTATTTGTTTGATAAAAGTAAAACTGTATATGAAGGGCCATTTGCTTCCAGAAGTTTATCTGATTGTGTAAATTATATTGGTAAGTATATATTGTACATTTAGAAGCTGAATTTTAATTTGAAATAATGTGATTTGACTCTTAAAATGATTAGTAGAAATTGTCCCTTGGTGTTTTTGTTTTTTTATCTCTCACACTTGATGTTTCCATATGTGGCAAAATAAGATTTATATAGCTCAGAGGGTAAAAGGTACTTGGTGTTTTTTTTAAAGATTTATTTTTTATTTAGTTGAAAGAGTTATAGAGGAAGGAGGAGAGACACAGAGAGAGAGAGTTCTTCCATCCACCTGTTTATTCCCCAGGTGGCCACAAGGGCTAGGGCTGGACCAGGCCAAAGCCAGGATCCCAGAATTTCTTCTGGGTCCCCCACATGGATGCAGAGGCCCAAGCACTTGGGCCATCTTCCGCTACCTTTCCAGGCACATTAGCAGGGATATGGATAGGAAGTGGAGCAGCTCATATGGGATGCTGGCACCACAGGTGGAAGCTTAACCTACTATGCCACGATGCTGGCCCTGAAAGGTAGATTTTATATCTCTACCAAATCCCTTCCTTAGGAGAAGACTTGCTTTCCTGAGGATAGGAGAATGAAGTTCTCCTACTAACTAAGCCTGCATTTAAATTGTCCCTTCATTATCTAAGCATATTCAAGTATTTGCTTTATCCTGTGAATACTGCTTGCTGCTCAAATGTTTCAATTTATAATGTGAAAAGTACTCTTTGCTTTTGAAGAAATTAAGCATTTGATCAATTTATGCCTAAGCAAACTAAAATCATGCACAAAATTATAAAATCAAGGACGGGGCCAACATTGTGGTGCGGTGGGTGAGGCCGCTGCCTGTAGCACCAGCATCCCGTATCCCACCAGTTCTAGTACTGGCTGCTCCACTTCTCATCCAGCTCTCTGCTGTGGCCCGGGAAAGCAGTGGAAAATGGTCCAAGTCCTTGGGCCCCTGCACCCACATGGGAGACCCAGAAGAAGCTCCTGGCTCCTGGCTTCAGATCGGCAGAGCTCCGGTTGTTGTGGCCAATTGCAGAGTGAACCAGCAGATGGAAGACCTCTTTCTCTCTGCCTCTCCTCTATCTGTAACTCTGACTTTCAAGTAAATAAATAAATCTATTAAAAAAAATCAAAAACAAAATGTGGTCATAGGGAACTGAAAAATACATTATGTTTCCTCTTTTGTCACCTTTTATTTGTTTCCTTTTCAACTGTACGTGTTATATAATTTGATTTTTGATATGTATATCCCTGTGTAATTCAAACTACAATCAAAGTATAGAACATTTCTTTTACTTCAGAAAGTTTCTTCATGTCTCTTTCCATTCAGTATCTCCTTCCTCATACTTACTTACTTATTTTTGTCCATATATTTTAAATATTTATTTTTATTTTATTAGGCAGAAAGGCAGTTGGAGAGAGACCTTCTAGCCACTGGGTAACTCCCTAAATGCCTGCAATAACCAGGTTAAGGCCAGACTGAAGCCAGGAGCCCAGAACTCCACTTAGGTCTCCCATGTGGGCAGCAGACCCAAGTATTTGTACCATTGCTAGCTGCCTCCCAGGATGGGTAGTACCAGGAATTTGGATCAGAAATGAAATAGCTGGTACTTTTTTTATTTTTTAAAGATTAATCTATTTATTTGAAAGTCAGAGTTATACTGAGAGAGGGAGAGACAGAGAGAAAGGAGAGAGATCTAACCACTGATTCACTCCCCAAACAGCCTCAGTGACCAGGGCTGGGCCAGGCCAAAGCCAGGAGCCAGGATCTTCCTCTTGGTCTCTCATGTGGGTGAAGGGGCCCAAGGACTTTGGCCATCCTCTGCTGCTTTCCCAGGTACATTAGAAGGGAGCTGGATTGGAAGCGGAGGAGCTGGGACTCAAACTGGCACTCATATAGGATGCCAGCATTGCAGACAGCGCCACAGCACTGGCCCCAGTAGCCCTTACTTGAACCGGGCATTCCAATAAGGGATGTGGATATCCCAAACTGGGAATTAACAGCTGGGACAGACACCCACATCTCCCCCATATTTCCTTTTTTATTTTAGTTTTTTAACTAATAGCTTTATTTAAGATTTGTATTATTTTAGATTTGTAGAAAAATTGAGTGGATAGTGTAGAATTCTCATATAATTCCCTCCCTCACACATACAGTTTGCACTGATATTAACATCTTATGTTAGTATGGTACATTTGAACCAAAATGTCATTATTAATTGTGCTTTATACTTACTTCAGATTTCCTTAGTTTCATCTGATATCTTTTTTTCTATTCTATGGTCAATCCAGGATACCATTTGTCATGTGTCCTAGGCTTTTCTGAGCTGTAACAATTTGTCAGTTTTTCATAGGAAATCATAGAGGATGACAAGTGCTCTAAAAATCCTCAAAAGTATCTTGTCTTCTTCTCTTGCATATAGTACAGGACAGCAAAATACAACTTCCAGTTATACAGCTACGTAAAGTATGGGCTGAAGCAGTGCACTATGTGTCTGGGCTGAAGGAAGATTACAGCAGGCTCTTTCAGGGACAAAGAGCAGCAATGTAAGTGGATTCTGTAGTTTGTAACCACAATGTCATGTTCAACAGATACTAAAGTATTAATATTGCCAGTTTTCACCAATCAATATTTCATGCAGTACTAATATATTGGGCCAATTTGAAATGTGACTTTCAGACCTGACTTGTAGAATTCTTACTCACGGACTAAAATCCAATTCCAGTGGCACGAGAGTAGTAGTTTCTGAACAGGCCTTATGTAGGGAGATTATTTATCATAGACTATCTTAGAGATTAGGTATTTATCATAAATTGATAATAGAAACTTGGGCTTTGGGCTTATAGCAATTTATGTTCTTAAATTTTTGTCCAGTGTTTTAAATGCTGATATAGTACAAAACCTTTTTTCTTTTGCTGTGCTTTAGGTTAAGCCTTCTTAGATATAATGCTAACTTGACAAAAATGAAGAACACTTTGATCTCGGCATCACAGCAACTGAAAGCTAAATTGGAATTTTTTCACAAAAGCATTCAGCTTGACTTGGAGAGATACAGCGAACAAATGACATATGGGATATGTAAGTGTTTAGATAATGTATTTGAAAGGAATATCTAGTCTCTTGAAGCCATCTACTGTTTTGCCTTCCTGACTCAAAGCCAGTTGTTTCATTTACATGAATATTAGAACAAAAGCCAGGATAACTTAGATCATCATAAACCATGTTTGTTTTATTTTTTTAAAAGATTTATTTATTTATTTGAAAGTCAGAGTTATAGAGAGGCAGAAGCAGAGAGAGAGAGCTAGAGAGAGAGAGAGAGAAAGGACTTTCAACTGCTGGTTCACTCTCCAAAAGGCTGCAATGGCCAGAGCTGCCCTGAGCAGAAGCCAGGAACCAGGAGCCAGGAGCTTCTTCCAGGTCTCCCACGTGGGTACAGGGGCCCAAAGTCTTGGACCATCTTCTACTGCTTCCCCAAACCATAGCAGAGAGCAGGATGGGAAGTGGAGCAGCCAGGACTTGAACCGGTATCCATATGGGACACAGGGACTGCAGGTGGCGGCCTTACTGCTACGCCACAGTGCTGGCCCCAGCCGTGTTTGTTTTAAATGTTAGTTCTCTTTTTAAAATCCCTTAGTTGAGCAACTAAAATTATTTAGCTCCAGAAAAGATAATACAGAAGCAATTTAAGAATCTGAATTTCTAGTCTCAGTTTTTGATAGATAGAAAAAAAAAATTTAGACTGGGATGATTTCTTAGCCAGTTTTTGTGTTCCTTCAAAATTCTTGTGCTGAATTCCTGATCACCAGTGTGGTGATATTAGGTAGGGTTTTGGGAGGTGATTAGGTCCTGAGTATAGAGCCTTTATGAGATAAGAGCCCTTATAACAAAGTCTGAGTGAGACCCCTTGTCTCTTCTGCCATGTGAGGGCTTAGCGAGCAGACAACTACTGTGAACTGGAAAGCAGGCACTTAACAGACCAATCTGCCAGCACCTTTATTTTGTACTTTCCAGAGCCTCCAGAACTGTAAGAAAAAAAAAGTTATTTCTATGCCACCTGGTCTACTATATATTTTTTTTAAGATTTATTTATTTATTTGAAAGAGTTAAAAAAGCCAGGAGCCAGGAGCTTCTTCCAGGTCTCCCACGTAGGTGTAGCGTCCCAAGGACTTGGGCCATCTTCTGCTGCTTTCCCAGGCCATAGCAGAGAGCTGGATCAGAAGCAGAACAGCCGGAACTAGAACTGGCACCCATATGGGATGCTGATACTGCAGGCAGTGGCCTTACCTGCTGCGCCACAGCACCAGCCTCTAACGTATTTTTTTAATAGCAGCCCAAATGGGCCAGCACAGCCCGGGAAATCTACGCTTCCTATCTGTCTGTAAATAATACTGCAAATAACTTGGCCGGCGCCGCGGCTCACTAGGCTAATCCTCCGCCTAGCGGCGCCGGCACACCGGGTTCTAGTCCCGGTCGGGGCGCCGGATTCTGTCCCGGTTGCCCCTCTTCCAGGCCAGCCCTCTGCTGTGGCCAGGGAGTGCAGTGGAGGATGGCCCAGGTGCTTGGGCCCTGCACCCCATGGGAGACCAGGAAAAGCACCTGGCTCCTGGCTCCTGCCATCGGATCAGCGCAATGCGCCGGCCGCAGCGCGCCGGCCGCGGCGGCCATTGGAGGGTGAACCAACGGCAAAGGAAGACCTTTCTCTCTGTCTCTCTCTCTCACTGTCCACTCTGCCTGTCAGAAGACACAAAAAAAAAAAAAAAAAAAAACTGCAAATAACTCCAAGGTTATGTTTCTTTCTAGTCACCTACTGTGGACACACAATCTCCATATTTTCACTATTGGACTCCAAGCTTTTCTCCTTTAGATGTATCAAGGAAATGTAAAAAAACAGTTAAAATTCAAATAAACTGGAGGAATTCCCACCAGTATTTCTGTTTCCTTTCATGAAACAAATCCTTTTTAGGAAACAGATACTATTTGTGTACTTGTCCTGAGCAAGGTATGTGTATCTCACAATAAACGATGAGCAGTGTCCAGTTAGGTGAATAAATTACTTCCCGGAGCTGGTTCTATAATTGCTGTTTTATTTCTAGTTGTGTATTATTGGCCTTCTCATCAATGACAAAATATAATTATTTCATTGAAATATCTTTGACTTGTCACAGGCTTACTGTATACCTGTTCAGAAAGAATAAGGTAGATATCTATGTGCTGATATTAAAAGATCACTTGGATCTTTAATTGGCTGTAATTTTTTTAAATTGTAAAAAATAGTAAAGAAAAAGAATATAAAGATTGTCTCACTTGTAAAGGAATAGAGTATGTGTCCGTGTAGCAAACAATCATTATAGTAAGATCCCTTAGAATGGACAATAGAAGGGAAGAAGAAGAAAGAGTCTTTTCTTTTTACATCCTTTTATAGTATTTGATTTTTTAAAAAAACATATTCATATATTAAAGTTTTTTTTTTTAATTGAAAGCCATCTGCATTAGTTTCCCAGGACTTCCTTAACAAACTATTCTAACTGTGAAACTTAAAAGAACAAAAATTTATTGTCTTAGCGTTCTGGAAGCTGAAAGTCCAGAATTCAGATATCAGTAAGGCCTTTTTTCCCTCTGAAGCCTTTAGGGAAGAATCTTTCCTTGCTTCTTGCCAGCTTCTTGAGGTTTGCCAGCAGGCCTTGGATTTCCCTGGTTTGTTAATGGCAGCTGCCTTCATTGTCACACGGCATTCTTCCTGAATATGACTGTATTCCTGTGTCATTTCTTTTAAAGACTGAGTCATAGTGGATTAAAGTCCTACCCTACTTCAGTCTGAATATTAATGTAGCTGATTATGTCTAAAATAACCCTATTTCCAAATGAGGTCACCTTTTGAGGTACTAGCAGTTAGGTCTTCAGTGTATCTTTTTGGGGGATAAGTCATAACACATCTTTGATGTTGATATGACAGGAAAACAGGTAAACTAGTAATTAAAGCCATACCTGTTTCTGAATTAACTAATTTAAACTTTTTTTTAAGCTTCAGAAAAAATGCTAAAGGCATGGAAAGAAATGGAAGAAAAGGCCATCCACTATGCTGAGGTAAGAAAAAAAAATCACAGATCTCATTCTTATTCTTGATGTCTCCCTTGGAAATTATCTTTGATTTTGGTATATAAAGATTATTTTTCCTGTCATTCCTGAATTTCAGACAAATATCCAATAGATGCTTTGTGTTTCTAGAGGTAGGTACCATAATGGATAAAAGTAAGGGCTTAGGGATAAATTGGACTCACAAGTTTCAGTTCCTATATATCATGGAAACTGTCTTTTCTAGTAGTGTTTGAAGATTAAATGAAGTCAGTAATAGTACCTGTCACTAATTATTTTTGATTCGTTTATCTAGGATGGCTGTACATCCTTTTTTTTCCTGGGACAGTCCCACTTTATACTTTATCAGCAGTACTCTTTATCATTCTTAAAATTATTCTAGTAACAACAGTGGTTTTCATGGCTGCTTTTTTTGTCTTATTAGTGGCACCTCTCTTTTTTCTCCAGAGGAAAAAGTAAATGGTAGTAGTCTGCTATTATTAGGAAGGAAAAGCAAGAAATATAGAATAAGTATGTCCTTATGTAGAAGATTGTCAGAATCTTAAGTATAAAAAGATCTTGATAAAATCTGTGTTTTATATTAAATTATTTCATTCTGCTGCATCAGCAAGGCATTCTGTATCCTTATTGTCCAAGTTTTCCATTGTGTAGTTGTAAGCCTACAACTTGTGTTTTCATCATATCTTAGATCGGTGTCATTGGGTACCTGGAGGATCAGATTATGTCCTTGCACACTGAAATCATGGAGCTACAGAAGAGCCCCTACGGAAGACGTCAGGGAGACTTGATGGAATCTCTGTAAGGATATACTTGTGTTACTTAATAGCTGTTACTTAATAGCTGTAATGTTTTTTAAATTTATTTATTTAACATGCAGAGAAACAAAAAGATATTTCTTCCGTCTTCTTGTTTCCTCCCCAATGTACACAATAATAATAAGGATAGGCCAGGCTGAAGCCAAGAGCCTGAAACTCAATCACAGCTTCCCATGTGAATGGCCAGGACACAACTACTTGAGCTATCCCTTGCTCCCTCGCAGGGTGCAGGAAACTGGATTGGAAACACAGCTGGAACTCAATCCCAGGCACTCTGATATGTGAAGTGGGAAACTGGATAGGAAGCAGAGCACCCTGGACTTTAACCGGTGCTTTGATATGGGATGCCAGTGTCACAATTAGCAGCTTAACCTGCTGCTCCAGGATGCTGGCCTCTTTACTTTTTCAATCAAAGCATCTTTTTCTAAGCACATCTAAGTTACAAACTTTTTTTTTTTTTTAAGATTTATTAATTTATTTATTTGAAAGAGTTACACAGAGAGAGAAGGAGAGGCAGAGAGAGAGAGAGAGAGGTCTCCCATCCACTGGTTAACTCCCCAGTTGGCCACAATGGTCAGAGCTACGCCGATCCAAAGCCAGGAGCAAGGAGCTTCTTTTGGGTTTCCCATGTGGGTGCAGGGGCCCAAGGACTTGGGTCATCTTCTTCTGCTTTCCCAGGCCATAGCAGAGAGCTGGATCAGGAGTGGAGCTTTACCTGCTAGGCCACAGCGCCGGCCCAACAAACTGTTTTCATATTTACTATACTTCTGGTCCAAGATATTACTAAATGTCTGGGTTAGACAAATTTTTTTCTCTAAACACAAACCATAGTTTTTGTCTATTTGAATGTTTCTGTTGCAAGAATCTTATATTTGTGGTGGTAGATTAGAGCAGACATGAAGTGTATTAAACTTTGCATTTTAAGAATTTGTCTAATTTTTGCTTATTAATAACATGCTCTATAAAATATTCAGTGACAATACATACTTAAAATTGGATCAGTATTCAAAAATCAAAGTTGTTCAAGTTGTGGATTATTGAAGTCATTAAATTACCTTCACAAATGGAAGCATGTTTTCTCTTTCATAGGGAACAGCGTGCCATTGATCTTTATAAGCAGTTAAAGCACAGACCTGCAGGTAAGACACTTATAATATTTAAAGAAATTTCAGGAAACTGTCAATAGCTGAACAAATTTGGGGGATTTTAAGTTTTAAAATTTTATCTTTAAAAAGCTGTAGAATAAATTCCAGTTTTGGTATAGCCATTGAGACATTTATGGTATGTGCGATAGTTTTCAGTTTGTGAGAATGTAAGATTCAAAAGGTCAAGCAGTAAAGAAATTTGAGGTAGAAAATTTTTAAAACGCAAAGTGAAAAGGAGGAATGCAAAAGAAAAAAGGAACTCAAAGAAGAGGAAACAAGAAAATATATGGGGCCGGCACTGCAGCTCAATAGGCTAATCCTCCGCCTTGCGGCGCCGGCACACCAGGTTCTAGTCCCGGTCGGGGCACTGGATTCTGTCCCGGTTGCCCCTCTTCCAGGCCAGCTCTCTGCTGTGGCCCGGGAGTGCAGTGGAGGATGGCCCAAGTCCTTGGGCCCTGCACCCCATGGGAGACCAGGAGAAGCACCTGGCTCCTGCCTTCGGATCAGCGCAGTGCACCAGCCGCAACACGGCGGCCGCGGCGGCCATTGGAGGGTGAACCAACGGCAAAGGAAGACCTTTCTCTCTGTCTCTCTCTCTCACTGTCCACTCTGCCTGTCCAAAAAAAAAAAAAAAAATATATATATATATATATATATATGAAAAAATAACTGCTGCTTTGCTGCTTTGGACTATGGAGATTGAAAGTAATTTCATACAAAGGATTCAGGTATGCAATGAGTAGAGTTAGAAGGAAGGTCCATGTTCTAGGCCAAAGCAGTTTACTTTGAAAATGATGCCTTCAGGGCAGGCGTTGTGGTATAGTAGGTAAAACCACGGCCTGCAATGCTGGCATTTCATATGGGCACTGGTTTCACGTCCCAGCTGCTCCACTTCTGATCCAGACCCCGGCTAATAGACCAGGAAAAGCAACAGAAGATGGCCCAAGTGTGTTTGGGCATCTTTCACAAATGTGGAAGATCCAGATGAAGTCCATGGATCTTCGCTTTACCCTGGCCCACTGTTGGCCGTTTTAGTCATCTAGGGAGTGAACCAATAGGTAGAAGATTCTCTCTATCTCTCCCTTTTTCTCTCTCTGACTTTCAAATAAATAAATCTTTAAAAAAAGAAGAGGAAGAAAATGATACCTTCATCTGCAGTAGCCACTGATTGCTTGTTTCATTGGTGAAACAATTGCTGTTGAACATCTGCTAAATGTGGTCTACTAGAAAGAGCACTGGATTGGGAATCAGAGTGCCCGAATTCTAGATTGGCTGCTTTACCGACCAAGTGACTTCAGGCAAATCTCCCTGTGACTCATTCTCTCTTCTACAAAATAGGGTTGAAACCTAGCTTTCCTTATTTAGTGAGAATGCTGTGGCAATGTATTTAAAAGGATGTTTGAGAAAATGCTTTGAAAACTGTCCGGTACTACATACCTGCAAGATATTATTTAGGGACTAAGCCTCCACCTGCGGCACCAGCATCTCATACGGGTGCCGGTTCGAGTCCCGGCTATTCCACATCCGATCCAGCTCTCTGCTGTGGCCTGAGAAAGCAGTGGAAGATGGCCCAAGTTTTTGGGCCCCTGTACCCACTTCGAAGACCTGGAAGAAACTCCTGGCTTCTGGCTTCGGATTGACGCAGCTCCAGCTGTAGCAGCTAATTGGGGAGTGAACCAGTGGATAAAGACCTCTCTTTCTCTGCCTTTCCTTCTCTCTCTGTATAACTCTGACTTTCAAATAAATAAATAAATCTTAAAAAAAATGCTACAGAGTTAAAGAGTAATGATGAAAATGATAAACAATGAAAATATTCACTGGACTTAGCAGTTGGGACATCATTGTGACCTTGCAAAATATAATGACCTTAGGAAATAGAAATCAGATTGTAGTGGTTTTAGGGGGAACTGGGAGGGAAAGAAATGGAGGAGGTAAGTCTAGGCCAACAGTTCTCTTTTTTTTTTTTTTTTTTAAGATTTATTTAATTATTTGAAAGGAAGAGTTACAGAGAGGCAGAGAGAGAGAGAGAGAGGTAGGTCTTTTATCTGCTGGTTCATTGTCTAGATGGCCGCAACAGCTATAGCTGTGCTGATCCAAAGCCAGGAGCCAGGAGCTTCTTCCAGGTCTCCCACATGGGTGCAGGGATCCAAGGACTTGGGCCGTCTTCTACTGCTTTCCCAGGCCATAGCAAGGAGCTGGATTGGAAGTGGAGCAGCCAGGACTCAAACTGGCGCCCATATGGGATGCCGGCACTGCAGGGTGTGGCTTTACCTGCTACACCACAGCACCAGCCCCCCCAGCAGTTCTTTTAAGTATGGCTCATGGACCCTTAAGAGTCCTAGAAACTCTTTCAGAGTATAAGATAAGCTATTTTCATCATGCTAAGACATTATTTGCCATTTATAACCATGTTGTCATATTCACTGATGGTACAAAAGCATTCTTGAGTAAAATGGTTTGCACCTTGTATGAATCATGACACTAGCACCACGTTATGCTTGCCAATAGTCATATTTTTCATCATCGTTCACTCATAGTTTAAAATAAAGTTCTGGTTTCATTTAAGAATGTTTTTGATAAAGTACAATCTCAGCCCTTGAGTGCATATTTTTAATATTTTGTGTGATAAATGAGAAGTACCTGTGAAGTATTTCTGCTATCACTGAAGTTGATGGTTGTCTTAGGGAAACCACTTCAGTAACTATTTACATTGCTAGCTGACTGGTCTCTTCTTTCATGGAACATCATTTTTACTTGAAAGAGTGACTGTCAGACAAACCATGGCTATTCACATTTGAGTATTCAGCAGATTCTTTCTCAGTAAGAAAGTGAAAAATAATGAATTACTTTGACTTTGGGGGAATAGGCCAACAATGTTTATTGTCAATGATAAAATTCCATGTTTCAATTAAAAAAATTATAATTTTAGAACACTTCTGTCCACCCACTGGAATGTGTCAGCTTCCCAAAGCTGACTTTTCTGATGGGATCAGTGGCAATATTAAAAAGATTTGTGGGGCTGACACTGTGGCATAGTGGGTAAAGCTGCCTGTAGTGCCGGCATCCCATATGGGCACCAGTTCGTGTCCCAGCTGCTCCACTTCCAGAGCTTTCTGCTATGGCCTGGGAAAGCAGTGGAAGATGGCTCAAATCCTTGGGTCCCTGCACCCGCATGGGAAACCCAGAAGTTCCTGGCTTCTGGCTTCAGATCGGTGCAGCTCTGGCCATTACGACCAATTGGGAGTAAACCAGCGGGTGGAAGACCTCTCTCTCTCTCTCTGCCTCTCCTTCTCTCTCTTTGCAACTCTGACTTTCAAATAAATAATAAAAATAAATCTTTAAAAAAAGATTTGTAAAAATATAGGGGCGGGCGCCGTGGCACAGCAGGTTAACGCCCTGGCCTGAAGGGCCGGCATCCCATATGGGCGCTGGTTCGAGTCCTGGCTGCTCCTCTTCTAGTCCAGCTCTCTGCTGTGGCCTGGGAACGCAGTAGAAGATGGCCCAAGTCCTTGGGCCCCTACCTGCGTGGGAGACCTGGAAGAAGCTCCTGGCTTCTGGCTTCAGATCGGCCCAGCTCTGGCCATTGCAGCCAATTGGGGAGTGAACCAGCAGACGGAGGACCTCGCCCCCCCCCCCCCCCCGTAACTGACTTTCAACTAAATAAATAAATCTTTTAAAAAAAAAAAAAATTTGTAAGCCGGCGCCGTGGCTCAATAGGCTAATCCTCCACCTTGCGGCGCCGGCACACCGGGTTCTAGTCCCGGTTGGGGCGCCGGATTCTGTCCCGGTTGCCCCTCTTCCAGGCCAGCTCTCTGCTATGGCCAGGGAGTGCAGTGGAGGATGGCCCAGGTGCTTGGGCCCTGCACCCCATGGGAGACCAGGAAAAGCACCTGGCTCCTGGCTCCTGCCAGGATCAGCGCGGTGCGCCGGCTGCAGCGGCGGCCATTGGAGGGTGAACCAACGGCAAAGGAAGACCTTTCTCTCTGTCTCTCTCTCTCACTGTCCACTCTGCCTGTCAAAAAAAAAAAAAAAAAATTTGTAAAAATATAAAACAATGCCAGTTTACTCACGAAATTTTTTTGCTTTGGAAAATATAGTTAAATGAATTAATATACAAATATCTTAAAATTTGTTTTGATTCCTTTAAAATCCTTTGGGGGAGTTTAAGAAGTTTTGAGGCTGAGTTTGAAAATTCTTTATCTAGATTGTTCTTTTCAGAAGCTTGGCTATTTAGGAAAGAAGAGGTGAGTAGCTAAAAGGACATATAAACTCCGGCGCCGTGGCTCAATAGGCTAATCCTCCACCTTGCGGCGCTGGCACACCGGGTTCTAAGTCCCGGTCAGGGCGCCGGATTCTGTCCCGGTTGCCCTTCTTCCAGGCCAGCTCTCTGCTATGGCCAGGGAGTGCAGTGGAGGATGGCCCAGGTGCTTGGGCCCTGCACCCCATGGGAGACCAGGAAAAGCACCTGGCTCCTGGCTCCTGCCATCGGATCAGCGCGGTGCGCCGGCTGCAGCGGCGGCCATTGGAGGGTGAACCAACGGCAAAGGAAGACCTTTCTCTCTGTCTCTCTCTCTCACTGTCCACTCTGCCTGTCAAAAAAAAAAAAAAAAACATAAAGACATATAAACTCACAGGGGGTCAGTTTTCAGGAGCACATGAGCATAATTATATGCCTGGGGCCAAAAGCCAAAAGCTCATGGTTCCTGAACAATTTGGGAAGTTGACTACAGAGATTAGTAGGAGGGATTGGCTTTGCTGCCATTGGTATTAAAGGGAGAATAGATGTCCATACAGATTCTTTTGTAGGAATAGGGGTTGTAAGGTCAGAGTTTTTACTGCCTTTGACTGCTATCCTGAAAGCAGGTAGTGAGGTTAACTAACGAAAGAGGTTATGACCTCATGATATCAGGAATGTGCTAAAGACTTTTAAAAGCTGTTGTGTGCAATGGAAGGTGTTGCTGATCAAGAACATATATTAATCCAGAGTAGAAGTGAAAATCTGATAACTGAGTGAGCGATAAAAACATATCTATATGTTTAGTAGCTTAGGTACAGTACCTGTTAAAGCAAATGGTTGAATTGATCCAAGATTAGGATTCTATTGGTGGAATAAAAAGAAGACAAAAATTTGAAGATTTTAACAAAATTGTGATTTAAGTGAGAGTAAAATACTAAAATTTAAGATTTCAAATACATCAGTTCTTTTTTTAAAAAATTTTTTAAAAAATATTTATTTGAAAGAAAGAACAGTTCTGACTGTTGTGGCCACTTGAAGAGTGAACCATCCACTGGTCAAGTGGCCACAACAGTCAGAACTGGGCCAGGCTGAAGCCAAGAGCTAGGAACTTCTTCCAAGTCTCCCATGTGGGTGCAGGGGCCCAAGCACTTGGGCCATCTTCCACTGCTTTCCCAGGCTTATTAGCAGGGAGGTGGATTGAAAATGGAGCAGCCAGGATTCATACTACTGCCCACATGGGATGCTAGCACCATAGACCATGGCTTTACCCATTATACCACAATGCCAGCCCCTAAAATGTTTTCCTTTAATCAATATTCATGTCTCCCAGTCTTCTAGTAAATGATTGAGACATTGTAAATGAAGATATACACAATTTTATCTACTGACTCAGTCAAAAAATTTGTAGTAGCCCAGTCAGTATATCAGCAAATCAGAAAAATAAATTTGCTATCCAGGTAGTTTCCTTGAACTGAGTCACCTTGAGTGACTAGTTGTGACAAGTTTTGCCCATCATTGAGACTTATATAATCACACTTGATGTATAGTCTCTGGTATATTTTCTAGCTTACAGTTGAAACTTTTTGTTCAGTTGAACATGGTGAAAACCAACTTTCTTCATTCTTCCTGCTGGAGAAGACTGTAGTTCTATAGTTTTTGGCTGAAGAAGCTAATTATATGAGAAAGTTCTTAGGCCTGGTCTGTGGGACTTGGGCAGGAGAGCTATTTGGAAAAGAACAGTTTGGGGGCCTCATCTCTTGTTCTTAGTGATGGAAAAGTGAGAGATGTATGGAGAATAAAGTTGAATTATGGAGGAAATCTTTGGAGTTATAACAAATCACACTGTGTTTTTATTTTTTTAAGATTTATTTGAAAGGAAGAGGTGGTAGGGGGTCCGGGGAGATTCATCTTCCGTTTGCTGGTTCATTCCCTCAAATGGCTGTAGTAGCCCAGGCTGGGCCAGGCTGAAGCCAGGAGCCTGGAACATCATCCAGGTCTCCCACATGGGTGACAGGAACCCAAGCACTTTGGCCATCACTCTACCTTCCTAGGATCATTAGTGGTGAGCTGGATAGGAAGTGGAGCCACCAGACAAATTGTATGCAGGACATATGGTATGCCAACATTGCAAGTGGTGGCTTAACCCACTGCACCACAACAGAACACAGCTTTTTTTTTTTTTTAAAGATTTATTTATGTATTTGAAAGGCAGAGTTACACAGAGAGAGGAGAGGCAGAGAGAGAGAGAGAGAGAGAGCGAGAGCGAGCTTCCATCCAGTGGTTCACTCCCCAATTGGCCACAATGGCCGGAGCTGCGCCAGTCTGAAGCCAGGAAGCAGGAGCTTCTTCAAGGTCTCCCACGTGGGTGCAGGGGCCCAAGGACTTGGGCCATCTTCTACTCCTTTCCCAGGCCATAGCAGAAAGCTGGATCAGAAATGGAGTCTCAAACCAGCGCCCATAAGTAACAGATATTAATATGTCAGATTTGGTTTAAGTCAGTCAAGTTTTTTCAGGGTTTTTGTGGGCTGTTCACAGATGAATAAACATGAAATTTTAAGCAAGCTTTTTGGGGCAAAGACCTCTTTATTGGAGGTAGTGAAAGTTTGATGTATTATTTGATTATGTTTCTAAATAAGTGATGATAATTATCCAAGAAAAATCAGTCTGTTGGCCAGAGGCTGTATGTGTGTTTGGGGTTTGGGTTAGGATGATTTAATGATAGACAAAACTGTTCTTCTGAAGCACAGGCAACTAATGTCTCTGAAGGTACAGGTATAGATTTATATATACTTTGGACACACAGGCACAAACACAGCTTTATTCTTTGATAAACAGAATTGTTTTTAGATAATCTTAAAATTTTCTGTCATCACCCAATTTTTAGTATAAATGGAGACACTTATTAATTAGTTTCAAGCTTTTATGAAGTTTTTGTTTGGAGGCTGTTTTGTTTATGCAGAAGGAAAGTTACATCCGCTGACTAAAGTGTTTTATAGATCATTCCTACAGCGACAGCACAGAGATGGTGAAGATCATTGTGCATACTGTGCAGAGTCAGGACCGAGTTCTTAAGGAGCTGTTTGGCCATCTAAGGTAGAAAAATTGCTTATTTCCTACTGAAAAGACAGAATACTTTATCATGTTCTTTTTGAAGTGTAATACCCTCACTGGTGAATATACTAGACGTAGGAAGAGTTCTAGCAGTACTTTGGGTTGGGAATCAGCCATTAAATCTCAGATCAGTCATTAAATCTCATGCTGATTGTGGTAATTTCCCTAGTTGTGTTTGGGAGTCTGCTATGTAAGTCTTTGGGTTTGTGTAAGCTATCTGAACTGATTTGATCTCTCCAGCAAGTTGTTGGGCTGTAAGCAGAAGATTATTGATCTACTCCCCAAGGTGGAAGTGGCCCTCAGTGACATCAAAGAAGCTGACAATACTGTCATGTTTATGCAAGGAAAGAGGCAGAAAGAAATATGGCATCTCCTTAAAATTGCCTGTGTAAGTAATTTTAATAAGTAATTTAAGGTGACTGAGTAGTTATTACTCCCTGCAAAAAGGATTTTTATCAGCATGAGCTGGAGCCTCTTAAAGATGTATTTTGTGTTGGGTTGAGGTTCATGTTCTTTGCTTGGTGTCTGGACTAGCTGTTGAGATGCGGGACTTCATGATTATCCTGTTATCACTCTCCTTTTCAGTTCTTCTGTTTTTATACTCCTCTCAGCCCTGGAGTATTAGGATAGATGTGGCTATCATGAAATCTACCTTTTGTTTAAGTAGGTTCTCCCCACCCCAACTAAAGTGGTATTAGAGGGGCAGATACATTTCATTTTAGTCAATGAAGAAAAGGCCAAATCCAGGATAGTTAGTGGTGGTGTGTCCAGGTGGGAATAGTTTTGTAAATATTCTGCATATATAAGTAGGGAAAGAAATTTAAATATTAGGAATGAGGTGCTTGCTTCTTATCTTTTGGTTTTTATTTTTTCCCCTCTTCAGACACAGAGTTCTGCCCGGTCTCTTGTAGGATCCAGTTTAGAGGGCACAGTAACCCCTCAGGCATCAGCATGGCTGCCCCCAACTTCAGCACAACGTGAACATCCTCTGTCATGCGTGGTAACTCCTCAAGATGGGTGGGTTCACTTTGTAACAATAGATAGTTGTGTTTTCAGAGCAGTGGTAGGAATGAAGCAGTAAAGTATGGTAGTTAAGGTGGTCCTTGGTGACTTCAGACCAGGGTTGAATGTCTCTTTGTAATAATCTTGGGCAACTCACTTGACTTTTAAATGTTCATATTCCTCACCTTTAAAATGAGAACTCTGAAAAAACTGCTCTGACAATTTGTGTAGACAGTGTATTTAAAGTGTGTGGGAAGTAAATATTCAACCAATGTTGCTTAATTTGAGCTAAGTCCAAGTTTTAAGTCTTTTCTGTTATTGGCTTACCAATTTCTTTTACCCAAACCTTATTCTTTCCTTAACTGTTTATCTGTTTAAGAAAATATATTATCTTTTTGCATTTGTAATTTTGGGATCCTTGATTATACTTCTAATAAACTCTTAAGATCTACTCTATTTTATTACTTAGCATTTCTGAAATCAGACTTTTTTTCAGTGCCCTAAGTTGATTTTGCAAATGAGAACTCATTTAATCCCTGCATTTCTTTTATTAATTTCTACTCTTCTGCTAAAAGCTGAATACTATCCATTTGTTATTTTCTCAGCATAAGATGTACCGTATCCAGGGCCAGTGGCTCTTTGCTAGCTCGTGCATTGTCGCTTTTCTCACAACTCATGGAGACCTCTACGGCACCAGCACTTCCTGGAAGTTCTGTCCATAATTAGCTTTGCAGAAGTGCAGCCATGTTACATCACTGCTCAGGAGGCCATGCAGTTGAACATTCTGTACGCTTTTATGAGAGAAAAGCACATGGCAGGAAGGCAAGCTGATATCAGGTATTTTATTTTTTTTAAAGAAAGCAAGTCCCAGGGTATATCTTTGTATATTTGGCCCAAATGTAGTACATCTACAAGCATAGCACAAGCTATAGTTAATTACATAGACTTTGTAGCAAATAGTCCATTAATCAGTTTTAGTAAGTAAAATTTAAAACATTTTTAACATTTTTGCTTTCATTAAAGGCATTTTGGTTTGTTAAAGGGATAATAATAGTTACAAATACCACCTCTACACAAATTTTCAATTTAAGATGTGGTTCTTCATAAAAGTGTAGCAAGAAGGAATATATTATAAAGGAAAACTGATTTCAATTACACTGTACCTTTGGTACTTACCTAACTACCAAGGATTAAAAACTGTTGGCTCAGTGTTTCTTTTCTTTCTTTTAAGGATTTATTTATTAATTTATCTATTTATTTGGAAGGCAGAATTTTAGAGAGAGGGAAGGAGGAAGGAAGATAGGAAGGGAGAAAGGAAGAGACAAAGATGGATATCTTCCATCCACTGGTACACTCCTCCAAATGGCTGCAACAGTTGGAAGTACAGCAGCCAGGACTCGAACTAGCACCCATATGGGATACCAGCGCCGCTGGCAGCAGCCTTACCAGCTATGCCACAATGTTGGCCCCCAGCTGAGTGTTTCATCTGTTGAATAAGAACTGAATCAGAATTTATTTCTAAGCTAATAGCAGCTGTTAACCATAGCCTAGAACTGACTAGTAGAGCAGGGACTGATGGTGCAGGCCACATGAAAGAAGAAGCACAAAGGTAGAAACCAGAATCATGATCTCCTTCAAATACAGACTTCCAGGGAAACTTCTCGGTCTGGGCTCCCCTATCTTCTGTTGTCCTAATGCATCAGCTTGCTTGTTTTCCTTTGCATTGCTGTCATCTGTAGGTTACAGCCAGACCTTTTCACATTCTCTGCTATCTGTGGAACACATAATACTTCTGTAGCTTCTTTCCTACTTTTGTGTCTGAAATAAACGTGCTGGTGTTTTACTACTTGTAAGAAATGACAAATATTCCATAAACCAAGAGACCTTTCAACTGTGCCAAGGATCGTTTTTTTCACCCGTGGAAAAAATGTTTTATGCAAATACTGTTTACATTTCAGAGGAAAATTACATTGAAGTTAGAATGGACTTTGTTTTTTTTTTGTTTTTGTTTTTGTTTTTGACAAGCAGAGTTAGACATTGAGAGAGAGACAGAGAGAAAGGTCTTCCTTTTGCCGTTGGTTCACTCTCCAATGGCCGCTGTGGCTGGCGCACTGTGCTGATCTGAAGGCAGGAGCCAGGTGCTTCTCCTGGTCTCCCATGCGGGTGCAGGGCCCAAGGACCTGGACCATCCTCCACTGTACTCCCTGGCCACAGCAGAGAGCTGGCCTGGAAGAGGGGCAACCGGGACAGAATCCAGTGCCCCAACTGGGACTAGAACCCGGTGTGCTGGCGCCGCAGGCGGAGGATTAGCCTAGTGAGCTGCGGCGCTGGCCAGAATGGACTTCTTATCATTAGAGTTAGGCAGAGGCAGCAGCTTGGAAGAAGCAGGAGTCTGCCTGGGGTGGGAGGGCTGAGGAAACTGAAGACTACAGGAGTCACCTGCAGTGGTTTGCTGGCTTGCAAAAAGGGCAGGGGTCATCCTGCCCCAGAAGACCAGAAAGTAGTGGAAATTCTTATGGCACTTTGCTGAATTTTAAAAGGCTTTGTTCATTTATCCTGCAGGGACACTTTTGCACAAATGATAGAAGAAAATTTGAATTGTCTTGGCCATTTAAGCACTATTATCCGTGAAGCAAATGAGGAACAGGGCAATAGTATGATGGTAAGTTTTGTTTGACTATGGACATGTATTTTAGGTATGTTGGGTATAAAGGCCTTAATGTTCCAAGCTAGCCTTATCTGGCATTCCAGATGCATATACAGGGAATAGAGTTCAGAAGAACATTTGAGGAATATCGTTAACCTCAAATCCCCCATTCTCTATTGCTCAGGGATGTACTAGAATTGTGTCATCAGTAATCACTTTGGTCAAAATAAATGAGTGGTTAAGGCTTTCTTTGTAATGTGCCTACTGAAATTAAATGGTTTGTACATTTTTGCTCTAGTAGTCAATTTGTTCAAATAAAATGGGACTTTTACTATAATTCCAATACAGTACCTGCTGAATATAAATGTTAATATAGTTTGTATAATACAAGTGTGTTTTTTAGGATTTGTTCAAATTATTGAATTGTTAAAACTAGAGGAAATTACAACAAAATGTTTACTGCATTAACTTTTACTACATTTAGTCTCAATGTCAAGTCTGTATTTCCTCTTTCATTAATCATTACAGAAAACTTGCAAAAATTAATACCCATATACTTACTATTTACAGTCAACAGCTAATTTTAACTTCTTCCTGCCTTTAGAATCTAGATTGGAGTTGGTTAACAGGATGATTTGCTACTTGTTCACTGTCCGCAAGCCTGTGGAAGTTGTTGCTGCACGTGTTGGAAATTTGTTTTTTCTCCATGAAAACCCATCTTGAAACACGTCAACTGAGAAATGGCCATGATCATAAACTATGCACAATTTTATAAGCACAATATTTTGATTTTGAGGAATTTTGAGCTCTGAACAAATAGGATTTTATAAAAAGTCAGTAGACTTGTTTAAATATTTAATACTACAGCTTCTTAGGATCATCTTTATGACCCATTCATCTTCAAACTTGATAAACATTATGTATTTAACTGACTAAAAATACCTTTTAAAGTTTTCACTTTTGACATAAAGCCAAACTTAGAGAAGAAAACCTCGTCTAACATATTTTAAGTTGTCTACCTGTGTTTCTGTGGAAGAGACTGCTCACAAGTAAAATTGTACTTCCTGAAGAATAAACCCTACCTCCTTGTGTTGTACTCAAAAAGTATACTTCGTGGCATCATAAGGAGTTGGCTTAATCCCATTTTTAATTTTTGCCACACACTTAATTTTCTTCATTCAGAAGGGATTGTGCATCTTTGCCTTTAATACCAGTTGACTCTCATAAATCATGTTGTATGCTATGTGTATATGTATTTAAGATGTACATTTAATATCAGAGAGAAGATACCTGTTAATTTATAATGTGTTTGAAAGCTCATAGGTTCTTTCATTTGTAAAAATGGATCATTTGTTTAAACATTCTTTTGTTTTATCATGTATGTTTATAAAGGTCTGTACTTCCTTGTTTGTAATTACAATTCCAAAATCCAAAAATTTTTGAAAACAAGGTTCTCATAAGTCTGGCTGCAGAACTCATTTGGCAAATATAATCTGAACTGACATTGACTCTACTTATCCCATTTAGTGTGAATATTGATTTTTTTGCTGCAGAAATAGTAATGTGTCTGATCACTGCAGGGGGCGAGTTGGGGTGCTGCCAGACTCTGCTGAGGGTTAATGTAGTATGGTACATGCACTGAATTACCTTCATAAAATCTGAACATTTCATATTACTGAAACATCTGGCTCCAAGGGTTTCAGGTAAAGGACTGTGGATCTCTATCATCTACTAAATAATTTAGAAGGTATTTTTTTAAATGTGAAATGCTTTTATATTATAGTTTTTCACTTTGTATATTAAATGATTTTAAAATTACCTTTTGAATCTCTATTCATTATAATAGGTTTTTTTTTAAAGATTTATTTATTTATTTGAAAGTCAAAGTTACAGAAAGGCGCAGAGGCAGAGAGAGAGAGGTCTTCCATCCACTGGTCCACTCCCCAATTGTCTGCAATGGCCAGAGCTGCGCCGATCCAAAGCCAGGAGGCAAGAGCTTCTTCCGGGTCTCCCACGTGGGTGTAGGGGCCCAAGGACTTGGGCCATCTACTGCTTTCCCAGGTCATAGCAGAGAGCTGGATCGGAAGTGGAGCAGCTGGGACTCAAACCGGTGACCATATGGGATGCCAGCACTGCAGGCAGCGGCTTTACCTGCTACGCCACAGTGCTGGCCCCTATAATAGGTTTTTATGATGTAATAGTTGAATATAGTTTAGGAAAATGTGAAAGTTCCAGGAGGTGGAACTGGAGCACAGAATAACATAATACTTTCCCTGTACTTTCAGGATTTAGCGTAAAGTTAGTGTTGGCAACTTCTCTGAGTGTTTTCTTCTGTGATATCCTATCACTACTCACGTCAAAAGTCATGCTCATATTTTGTCCTATAAACCGATGTCATAGTCCCACCCTGCCCATATTTACTAACAGTGACACAAATGTGAAACCTTATGATTGTTTCCTCCTGTAGTCTTTAATAACCACATACCACTGTTTCTCTATCAGTTACAGTAACAGGCAGTCTCTTTTGCATCCCTATTTCCAAAATTTTTTTAAATTTATTTAAGAGCTACTCAGGGCTGCCATCTGCTGGTTCATTCCCCAAATGCCTGCAACAACAGGGTCTAGGCTGAGTCTGAAACTAGGAGGCAGGAGCCAGGAATTCAAGCCAGGTCTCTCATGTGAGTGGCAGAAACTCCATTACTTGAGACAACACTGCAGCCTCAGCATCTGTATTGGTTGTTAAGCTGCAGTCAGGAGAGGAAGCTGGGAATCAAACCAAGGCGCTCCAATACAGGGACACAGGCATCTCTAAATGCCTGCTCCCCAGGGCTTTTGTTTTTGTTTTAAAGATTTATTTACTTGAGAGTCAGAGTTACAGAGAGAGAGAGAGAGAGGTGTTCCATCTACTGGTTCACTCCCCAAATGGCCACAACTGCAGGAGCTGAGCTCATCCAAAGCCAGGAGCCAGGAGCTTCTTCCAGGTCTCCCACGTGGGTGCAGAGGACTAAGGATCTGGGCCATCTTTTACTGCTTCCCCAGGCCATAGCAGAGAGCTGGATCAGAAGTGGAGCAGCCAGGTCTCAAACTGGCACCCATATGGGATGCCAATACTTCAGGTGGATGCTTTAGCTACTCCACTACAGTGTCGGCCCCTCCCCATGTTTTAATAATAAACATTTATTGGGTATTTGATGCTTGGAAGATACTAAACTAGATGGCAAGATCAGAAACAGTTAACTCAGACTGTACAATAAAAGTGCTTATCTGCAGGTCTGACCATTTGCAGGCCTCCCAAGCACTAGAATTATTAAGAATTTGTTTCAATGACCATGTGTTTTTAATATCATTGTATTAATTGGTAAAAATTTGCTAGAGTAGGGGCCATTTTGATGGTGTGTGGCTGAGAGGCTGTCGGGGCAGTTGGTGTGAGTCAGAACAGACCACAGTAAGATTACCTCCAAACTTTAGCGTTTGGTGCAAAGCAGACCGCTGTAGTTTTTTGTTTGGTAACATCTTTTCTGCTTTGAATGACAGTCGTGAAATATGTTTCATTTGCGAACCTATGAAGAACTAAGAAAGTACATCCAGAAAATACAGTTTTTGGAAGTTAATATAGCTAAGTCTGCAAATATAATTTGGAAGTTATTATAGATAAGTTTGGAACAGGAGCCCTGACATTCCTATGAAATAAAAATCAGATGAATGATACAGATAAGTGAATTTATTAAAGGAAGTGGGTAAAGTGATCTGGGAACGACTGCTTTAATGAGGAATTGAATTTTGATTATCTTTCATTTCACTGCTACTGCCGGTATAAGCTCAGGCCTGCAGTTTCTTAACTATTTGGCTTCCCTGCCTTCAGTCTATCTTCACAGCCATTTTGCAGATTCCTAAAGCACTGTGTTCCCATGTCTGCTCCAGATTAGAAGCCCCTCCAACCTTACTCAGCCCTGTCCAATTGTGGCCTCCCACCACTAGCCTTCGAAAGCAGAAGCCATTTCTGACCAACCTACACTAACATGCGGGGCTTACTTTCCTTGTATTAATCCATCTCATGCCAGACTCGACCCTTTTCCTTTGCCCTTTTTCATTTTGGGTAATATATGTACATGGTGCAAAACTTGAAAACAACAGAATATGCAGCGAAAGTTCTTCCTGCCCCCTAAACATCCAGTGCCCCCATCAGCAGGGGGAAAAAAGTGCATTCCCGACTTTAAAAATAATCCGGTCCTATCCTAGCCCACCAAACCACTGCTTTCCATCCCACAGGCTTTCAGACAACTCAAGTGCTTATGGTTGGCTCCCTTTGGGCTTCCAAGAGGAGCGCCGCGCCCCTCACTGCGCTCGCCCACTCTTCTTGTCGCCGGGACGGCCACGCTAAAGCCCTAACTGGTCAGCATTCGTGCACAACTATTCTCTCTCTCTCTCACACCGACAAAAACCAAGGAAAAAACTTGAATGAGTGATGCAGGTAGACCGAACAGTTTCCTCGTCCTTTTACAGCGAACAAGTCTGGTTGCCCCAGAAGTGCACGGTCCGCGCCAGGAGCACGTGTTGCCGCACAGTAGGGTTCGGAATACGTCCAAAAAAAAAAAAAAAAAAAAGACACAAAAGGAACAGCTACCGCATTGAGAGTGGGGCAGCGGGTTCTCTGCACAAAAGCAAACCGACTGGTTTCTTGTCGGACAGGCCTTTCCTATCCCCGCTTCCCCCAGAGTACCGCTTTTCCTCACCAGCTCACCAGCAGTGCACACAGGAGGAAGCGTCCCACCTCCTAACTGGAGTGCAAGGGTGGCTGGAGTATTTTGGCCCCCTCGCTTCCCGTTCCTAGTCGCAGGCGGGGCACTGCGTGCCTGTGCGTTTTAGCGCAGGCGCAGTGCAGGGAGAGTGGGCGGGGCCGGCTGTTGGCGGCGGTTGGCGCGGCCCGGGAGGCGGCTGCACGTGCGGGAGGGGGCGATGCGTCACTGATCGGTGAGGCGCGGCCGAGGGGGTCTCCCCTTCCGGAGCCTAGGGCTGGGCGTGTTCTCGGCGCCTTCTACAGACTGAGCGGCGGTGGGGAGGGGGCGTCGCGACGCTCACCGAGCAGGAGCGGCCCGCGGGCCACCTCGGGCGGAGGGGCTGGCGAGGGGAAAGCGGGCTGTGAGAGGAAGGAGAAATGCGGGGAAAAGGGCGCCGCACTCGCCCGCGCAGCCTGTGAGGGGGCGCCGGCTCCCCGGAGGAGGGAGGGGGGAGCGGGCCTGTCACTCATGGGGCTGAGGGTCGTTGCCTCGCTCGCCTAGGAGCGACAAGGATGAATATGACTCAAGCCCGGGTGCTGGTGGCTGCGGTGGTGGGGCTGGTGGCTGTCCTCCTCTACGCCTCCATCCACAAGATCGAGGAGGGACACCTGGCTGTCTACTACAGGTGAGCGGCGCGTGCAGTCAGCTCGGGTTCTAGACGGGTGGACGGGGCACGTCCCCAGCCGCGTCCGGGCGAGCACTGCCCAGTCCTGGACGTACTTTTCGGCCCAGCGGTCGGGAAAGCATGGTGTGAGGAGGGGATAATGCAGGCTTTGGGGAGCACTCTACAAGTGTCGGGCCGTTTTACTTCTGTGTTCGTTTTGTGCAGAGATTAAGACTCCTTGTGGGTATTCCTGGTACACAGTGAACTCGATGATTTGTAGAAAGATGAAAAAGGAAAGAAGTAGTCACTCTACAAGTAACTGAAGAAGTGACTAAATCGTTTATAGTGCATAGAACTGTGCGGGCTTTTAGTTTGCTGCCATACATGCTTTTAGAAAACGTGGTCCTGCGTATGGTTGTTTCCTAAGATTCGTTTCATCTGGTTATGTCTTTTTTTTTTTTTTTTTTTTTTAAGATTTATCTATTCATTTGAAGGCAATTACAGAGGCAGAGGTAGAGAGATAGAGGTCTTCCATCCGCTGGTTCACTCCAGTTGGCCACTATGGCCACTATGGTTGGAGCTGTGCCAATCTGAAGCCAGGAGCTTCTTCCGGGTCTCCCATGAGGGTGCAGAGGCCAAAGGTCTTGGGCCATCTTCTGCTGTCCCAGGCCACAGCAGAGAGCGGGATCGGAAGTAGAGCAGTCAGGACTCGAACCGGCGTCCATATGGGATACTGGCATGCCAGGCGGCGGCTTTACCCACTATGCCACAGCACCAGCCCCTGGTTATGTCTTAAAAGACCATAATGACCATGGCGTTGGTTAATCCCTGGACCTCAGAGGACAGAAGTGAGACACAGATGACCCACCTACTTCATCCTTTCAACTGGAAGAGAGGAACGGAGTAGGATATGCTACTTGCTCTTTAGTTGAGTTGGTGTACTGTTTTTTTTTTCTTTCAACATAGTTGACACCAGATCCTTCTGATACTGACTGTGAAGAGGGAGGACGGTTGGTTGAGAAATTGGAATAGTGGTGTATTCAAAAAGAGCTTCAACTTTTTGATTGTTTGCATCATCTCCCCTAAAAATGTTATTTCTACATTTAGCTCCCTCCTGAGTCATAGAAAAAGTGCAGATTTAGTGGTATGTTTTAGCAGGGAGCACTCCAATGTGAGACGTGACGGATGAATTCAGATTTCCTTCCACTTTAGCATTGTTTTTCAGACATTAAAACCAAGGAAAGAACATTTCAAGATACGAATTAGTGTTCGGTCTCAAATAGCTCATCATAAGTTTTGGACTTCTTTGCAAGCTCATTTATGTTTACCATACAGGTAGCTGAGTTCTGTTCGTTATGTAACATAGGACTTCTTTATTTGCTCCCCAGATGTCTCCTTTTTATAATTGCCAGTATATGCTTTCATAGTTCCTTTAT